TTCCTGGATATCGCGAGAACAACGCGAGAACTGTACGAATCGAGAACTTGCTATACCGTAGCGAAACACGGCAAGAAAAACTATCAACAGATAGCACGGGAGCACGAGCCAGCCCGTGACACCTCGGTCGGTGCCCCGAGACAGACTGCTTTGACAATAGCCAAATTCGAGAACTAATCATTCTGATTGGTCAAGCCTTATAGCCGATAACTCTTCTATCTCCTTCGAGTCGTCCCTTTAAACTAAATCGAGAGCGTTCCTTAACGAATCGGTACGTAAATTTTGGAGATCCTCCACGGCCGCTTCCCCAGGGCATCGGGAGACAACTGGGCACCACATCCTTAACTCGGGCAGGAGGTTCCTCTCCTGCCCTTAACCATATCAAAACTTCCTCCGCCCGCTCTACAGCCCTTTGCCCATCTCCAGCGGGGCGCCGGTACTCACCCGGGCTTCTGCCGGTCTGTGGAGACGTCTCCGTCGGGTACTCTCCTCTGCCGGGCAACTCGGTACGTAGAGACTATCTCCCCACGGCAGATTCGAGCACCTCGACCTCAACTAAACAATGACACAATCTTACGAGAGCCTTGACATAACTGTACGAATCAACCCGAGAGCGTAGCTTCTGAGCAGGGTGGCGATCTGAAGAGAACCAGAAATCGAGAACGTTATCTGTATTGGTAACCGGAGCCGCCTTGGGACCGTGATTCGAAAAATCACGTCACAACTTATATACTAATTTATCCAGTCTCCGAAATTTGAACATTCCACCCTATCCTAACCTCAACTAACCAAACCTAGCGTAAACTAATGTAAAACCACGTACCATATACTACAATAAGATATCGTTCGTACAGAATTCTATTTCATTTACAGTATTTAAAACTGGACAGCATTTGCAGTTAAAAGTCATTTGTGTTCAATTGCGTTTGTGCGCAAGTGCCCCGCCCCCCCACACATTACACACAAGAAGTCCAAGGAGGAAAGAAAAAAAGCCCAAATCGTCATCGTATTTCGTACTCGCAGTCTAAACTTCTGAAATTCACTAATACTCACGGTCGAAACTAAGGCGATATGCAGCGTGCCGGAAAACTTCGAGGATTCCCGATTCTTTCCAGTGTCCAGTAATCTTCCCGATATTTGCGGTCGTTTCTCCGTGGTAGCCGTGTGGGGATCCTCGTTGTGACGTTCGGCGTCGTTGTCATCATCATCGTCGTCATTGTCATCTTCGGGCGATACAAAGTAGTTAATGACATAGCTTATTCTCGCCCTTTGTCTATAAATCTTGACAATAAAGACGCTATTATTACTATTCTTGTTCTTGTTATTGTTATTATTATTATTAAATTAAGCAACTCGAAAATTGTGATTAATCATAATCGAATGGAATTATGTTAAAATGTTAATGCAAAAGTGTGCTGTTTTACAATAAAAATTTTTTTTTAGGGATAGATGATGCCAAAACCGAATGTGACTTGGATGACGTACATGATTGGGATTTAAAAATTATTAACGAAGGACAAGACTCTGAATATATTGTGCAACATATTTCTCAACTGATAGAATAGAAAACAATACAATTCACGTGTTATGAATTTAACTATGATACAATAAAGAAAACATTATCTCCCATTGTATTGGAACCGAGGTTGCTGAGAATATATGACTGGTACTATTCCATATTCATTCTATTTTCTTCCTCGTCAGGTAGAATGTGAAAGCTATAGGAGACTCAACTACTTCATTGTGGTATTTGTTAAAAGCAGACTGGTATAAATGTATGAATGTATAAATGTTATGTTGACTCCTTTTAGCTAGTGAGACAAAAAACATGTGAAACGTCAGTGAAACGTCAAAAGATGTATTTCCTTACCATACATGGTACGCGATACACGAACGACGTGATCGCCACTGCAGCTTTTGGCATAAGCGTCAACTCGATGCGCGATAAAGATAATGACTTCTATGTCAACGGAAAGGATGCAACAAGTTTTCAGGGATTCTGGAAAACTATTAAGTTCATTATGTTTCGCATATGTCCGAGTATTTTGCGATTGACGGGTGATAGCTTTATATCGGGCGACACGACATTTTTTAGGACGCTCATTCAAGATGCTGTTAAGGCTAGAGACGAGAAGGGAATCGTCAGACCGGATATGATTCACTTGCTGATGCAGGCCAGAGATAGCGAACGTATAACATTGTCCACGGATGACATCGTGGCTCAAGCTTTTGTATTCTTTTTGGCCGGTTTCGAGACTGTCTCGACTTTGATGTGTTACATGCTTCATGAACTGGTGCTCAATCCTGACATCCAGCAAAAGCTTCGCGAAGAGGTTGATCAGGTGACTTCTGGTGCCGACGGCGAGGTCACCTATGAGATGTTACAGAAGATGAAGTACATGGACATGGTCATCTCTGAAACTCTACGAAAACATCCTCCAGTTCCTGTGACCGATCGTGTCTGTGTTAAGAGTTTTAAGCTTCCACAGTCGATGCCGGGGTACAATGATGTAACACTTGATAAGGACTCCATCGTGTGGATTCCAATACACGCCTTTCATCACGATCCGCAATATTTTCCAGATCCATATAAATTTGATCCTGAAAGATTTAATGATGAGAATAAGGACAAAATTGTCCCTTACACATATTTCCCTTTTGGACTGGGTCCTCGAATATGTATTGGGAATAGATTCGCGTTGATGGAAACGAAAATGATCATGACACATTTGGTGCAAAACTTTTTGTTTAAACGAACGGAGAAGACTCTTGATTCGACTAAATTTACCCTAAAAAGTTTAACTGTTCTACCGGAAGAAGGTTTTTGGCTTCAGTTAGAGCCACGAAAGATTTAGGATTTGTTTTCTCCTATTTTAATTGTTATTCCTTTCATTAGATAACTCACTGAGAATTTTATTTGGTCAACGCTAGCAATCATGCTTTGCAAATTACTTCTTCACTGTCCAAGGGACGGTATTATTTTTAAAGGAGAACTTTGCTGAAAGTTGGAAAATAATATGTAATATAAAATAAGACAAATATTTTTATACCATGTAAATGCATTATATCAATTAAATAAGTTGTTACATTGCACAGTTCTGTATAGGAGGTATTCTTTTACAAATCGAACACTTTTTTCGAATGTAGAATTTAGATTCTCATGAAAATTTTTTTACAGCTTCTATTCAAGAAATAATGTGACTCCTGTATCACGATTTTTGAGAGAACATTTTTTTTTGATAGGTATATTTATTTTTAATTTCAATGATAATCGAAGAAATGATAATTACTCATGTATATAAAATTCATTATTTCTGGTTTTACTCATTCAATCGATTTCGTTTTTTTTTTAATTCCTTACCGTGTTATGTTAGCTCTTTAATGAATATGTAAATGATCTTCATTCTGTTATTTAAAAAAGTTATTAACAATTTTATTGTTTAAACAATTATTTTACATTTGCCCCCTCAATGAATAACATTTAAAAAAATACTATCGTGTGCAGTATGTTTTAATCTAAAAAACCCACACTTAAGAAATGTGGAGACTTTATTAGATCCGAAAATATTAAATATTTTCTAGTGCGCGGCGTGCGCGTCGCGCGTGGATCATAGCTTGACGTGCTAAAACGTTTCTGAGTCAAGCCGCGACCAGCGTTCCTGGAGATGCTTACGCGATTTGTCGTTCAAGAATAGTGGAAACTAGTTTATCGTTTAAATAAAGGTATATTTCTGTAGAATATTTTCACAAATTACAAGTACGCACAGTTTCAAAAATCTTACAATGTTTAACTTACTTACAACAGTCTCTCTCTCTCTCTCTCTCTCTCTCTCTCTCTCTCTCTCTCTCTCTCTCTCTCTCTCTCTCTCTCTCTCTCTCTCTCTCTCTCTCTCCTGCGGTGCGTTCTGGGTGGAGGACCCTCATGAAGGGTGGTTTCTTAACAACGCTGATGATATATGGCCACAAGAGTATACGCCTGCCATGTTGAAGGAGGACGTTCATTGTTATCAGAACCTGTTAACAAGAGTTGCTGGGCGGCTGCCTAAAAGTTTTATCTGCAACTTTAAATGGACGGGCATGGCATCAAAATCCGGTACGGTATCGTTTGATTCCTTACCTCTGAGGCTTCATGCGTCATTCGAGTATCTTCCTGGGGTGAGGAGGGCGCCACGTCGAGATGCCTGTGGTCGCATGATAACCCAAGCTGCCGCAGCTGAGCGCGTGAGAACTTATCACGGAGATAATCTTCAAGGCAGAACATTCGTTGCCCTTGTATGGAGTCCTGATAGTGACACCACTCCTATAGAGATGATCTCTGGTTCCGCTTCATTCGTTGGTGAACATTTTATGCAAGCTACACGACTGCAAATCAATGGACGGAAACAAGCTCACATCGCGCCGGGAACCATGTTATATAAACTGGTTGATGCACCATGTCCCGCAACGACTTAGTCGTCTTGGGATTTGAATCCAGATCCGCGATATAGCTCGCCTATTGTGGCTTTGCAATAAGGACCGTCGCGCCGCCAGGATCTGGTTTTAAATATAGGATATAGCTCGCCTTAATGGCTTTAAACTAAGGAGCATCCCAAAAACTTTTTTTTTTACAAATCCGTACGATTTATAAAAGAATGCCTCATAGACGAGTAATGCAATGTGTATGGGTAAGTAGACTGTTACGGGTTGGACTACCCGCGGGGTAGGACGTGAGGGTCTCGCTTTTGTTTTGTCTGTCTTAAAATTGTCATCAATAAACAAGAATAAATTCAATTTCATCTAATGATTTTGTTTGGCCACCTAGCGGCGCGGCAGCGAACTAGTGTTCGCTCGGCTACTCCGAGTCTGGTTAGGGACTCTTGTCACACATTTCAGCAATATATCAGAAAGTTTTATTTATTATATTGCCCTGAAATATTGTGCAATATTTGACATAAAGACATCAACAACATTGCTGTCGCATTGAAATATTGGAATATTGTTGTAATGTTTTCGAAATATAGTGTGCTGTGTGGGTATATTAATTACAGTATGTTAAATAGCTGAGTGGACAAGATGTAAACGTATGGATGGCTTAGTAAACGTAAGGTTCGGGATTCAAATGAGGATATTTCTTTTTGACGTAGGAATTTACCGTCCGAATGTATAACATAATTTACTTCAATCCTTTACCTACGAGATGTAATGTTGAGGAATGTAAAAATAAAGGGAAAAGAAATTGGAATGTTGAACCTTACACTAGGTGTTCTTTCATTTAATCAATTGTATAGGGTTCTATTGTGTAAGGTCGTTTGTTTTTGGTATTTATTGGATTCAGGGAAACTCGCAAAATATTATCGTTTCTTGGAGATGCGAATTCGGAATAACGTCAGGGATTATTTTAGAATTTTGCGAGAAAAAGAACAACATAATTTTGATTAATAGTAATAGGTAGCATTTTTTATATTTATAAACATATACACACTTATTCTTATTGTTTAAATGTAAAGTTAAGTACATACAAGCAAAATGATCGTTTAAAAATTTGTGCTAACAGGGTCACGATTAACTCGTAAGTTTTCAATACTTTTTTACGTAGAAAGGAATTTTTTCTGAAGCACTCCCCCTAATTCATTATTCGTTTGCAAATAGTATTTGATTTGTCAGATGATGGCGTTTTCGGATGAGCGTTAAAATTTCTTGAACATAGAACTTACCATACGAATAAAGACGAACTTGTAGGAATTTGCATACAATTGCTACGATCAATTTTATTTTATGGGGCATTTCTAACGGTTCGACATTCACACACTCCAGATCAGGAAATATAGATTTATCTAGGACAAACCTTTGTTTTACTAGCAGGATTATTTTTACGTCGAGATTATGTATTTTCAAGTTTTTGAAGCCGTTCGTTTCTAACTGCAGCAATTTCTCTGCTTCTGCTACAATCTTAAATGCACTTGGGCATAGAGAAACTAATCCACTATTATGGCATTGATCTACGAACTTGGAGAATGTAAATCGGTGAGTGTAATCCTGATCAGTTCGTTTTAGAATAAGATTACTGACGCAGCTTTCACACTCAATACGTAGAAGCAATTGTTTTAGTGTGTAAGCGCATATACAGGATGAATCACGAATCGTTATCAGTAGAGATTACTTTGTTATTAGCATTCCGATCGATAATGTTTTTATCAGCATTTGCATGATTTGAAGAGAGCTTTAACGTGATAGTAAAAAATTACTGGTCAACTCTGTTTTAAAATGTTTTTTCAAGGTTACCTTGAATTTTTTGCAACTGAACCTATAATTTTTTTACGCCTGTCTGTTAGAGGATTTCAAGAAGAATTCGGCACATGTAAGGACATGACATTTTTTTCAACTGGTTCGAAAGAAAATTAATAAACTTTATATCACGAGGAGAATCACAGCTGCGCCGTTATTACGCAACCAATGTTGTTGACAACTCAAAATTTACCAATCTTAATTGTACTGAACATATAATTTTTTTACGCCTGTCTGTTAGAGGATTTCAAGAAGAATTCGGCACATGTAAGGACATGACATTTTTTTCAACTGGTTCGAAAGAAAATTAATAAACTTTATATCACGAGGAGAATCACAGCTGCGCCGTTATTACGCAACCAATGTTGTTGACAACTCAAAATTTACCAATCTTAATTGTAGCGATGTTCAAAATGGTGTCCACGAGCTGCAATGCACTCACATGGACGGTGAACAAAAGATTGTTTTGCATTCTTTATGGCCTCTACACTGATGGTTGAGCATGCATCCGCAATCCTTCGTCGCATATCTTCCGGTGTTGTTGGAGCATCTGCATAAACTTTGTCTTTTAATGTACCCCACAAAAAGTAATCTAATGGAGTAAGATCGGTAAGTAATTTTGACTTGTCAACAACATTGGATGCGTAATAACGGCGTAGCTGTGATTCTCCTTGTGATTCAAAGTTTTTAAATTTTCTTTCGAACCAGATGAAAAAAATGCCATGTCCTTACATGTACCGAATTCGTCTTGAAATCGTCTAACAGACAGGCGTAAAAAAATTATAGGTTCAGTTGCAAAAAATTCAAGGTAACCTTGAAAAAACATTTAAAAAAGTGTTGACCAGTAATTTTTCACTATCACGTTAAAGCTCTCTTGAAACCATGCAAAAGCTGATAAAAAGATTTTCGATCGGACTGCTAATAACAAAGTAATCTCTACTGATCATGATTCGTGATTCACCCTGTATAATACAGGATATTGTCCTTTAAGTCTCCGTGTAGCTGACATAGACCACTGTTATTCAGTTTTCTGACTTCTTCCAAACTGCTTTCCAAAACTTTGAATTTTTCTGATTCACTCCGGAAATAGATTTCTTTATCTTTCTTTTTCCATTGCAATGAGAAGATAGATCCGATTGGATCACTGTCTAATGGGATGCAATTTCCTGATTTCAATGCTGTAAGACTATTCTTCATTAAGATTTGTTTCATCGCGTACTTGAATTGCATCACATTCGGATTGTTATTCCAACCAAATCTGCCCCTGATTCTAGCGAATAATAGTTCTATATGATCCTGAGAGAACTTGTAAGTATGTACTTATACATTGAATTTCCGTTAAACAGTATTTCTGCTACTGCAATTATAGATTTTGAGGTAACAACAAATCCATATATGAAGGCTCTTTTTGGGCTTGTGCACGAGAGACGTCCAGTTTTGTCACGTAACTAGAACAAATAAATATTAGTTTGAGATACAACTGCTTTCAGATGCACTAAGTTACTACGCTTCAGAGGTTTTTTAAAGCCCTTGGCAAATGGAGAACGAGAATTTAAAAAGTGAAATAGCCTATCGATGATTCGCAGGAATTCAATCGTTGCTTCGCAATTTTGACCGATGCGCTTAATGTTTGTGCAGCATACTACACTTTCATTTTATTCTGTTCCCACGCAATGCACTGGGAGCTGAGTCTCTTTTTAAATTTCAGTGTCAACTGCCGTTGCTTAGAATGTAAATTAACGATGTGTTGTCATTAAATAGAACCATTACTACTGTGAAATACTTGTAAGGTGGCTAAAGCATTTCTGGCTAATTTTAGCATATAACAGGCGTCCAATATTGCGTACACATCGTAATCGGCAGATGGATGCTTGAAAGAACATTTCATTTTTTTGTAGCATGTGAAAATATTGCAGCCTAGAATACCAAACATGCTGAAGTTAATGCTTGTCCCGTCGCATATCACTGACCACACTCTTCAGCCAGTGTCCTTAGCTAAAGTCAAACAGGATTTTACGAGTTCCGCTTGGGTTAGAGCAGTCATTATATTTTTAAAAAAGTAACCGACAGGCCATTTCTATTTACCATTGAGACTAACCAACATAAAAACAAGCGCCTCATTTACCTCGGTTTCCGCGCCTTCCAAACGAACTGAATTACCGTAATCGCAATACCCTACGTAACAGTACTTTTGCTGATCCCATATCAATTGTTTCCTTATAGCCATTCCATCTAGGACGAGGTTGCAATCACGATCTTGCAAGAGAAGTTTATTAAACTCAGTGAAAATATCGCCTTGAAATCCAGGTTCCGCATTAATGGACATCCAATTTCTGATTGAGGAGGAATGAGGTAGCTTTAAAATGTTCCTGAAAGAAGAAATGAATAGTCTGACAAGAATTCATTTCTATTATATTATAGGTACGTCTTAGAACCAATCTTGCAAAAACAGAGTGTACGATGTAGAAATGAAAGGAGAAATGAAGAGCCCGTGCAATTAAAACATGCAAAAGTAAAGAAACCATAAAGAATAGAGAAATAAAAAACCAAAAGTCATGCTAACCGACAAAAACTGTAAGCTTTTGGAGAATTATAGTACAAGGAAAGAGCAAACTCTGTTAGTTCATTCTTGTAACGTCTTCCGGTTTTCGTTTCTTACTTCGTTTGTAAATATTGCCAGGGGAGTTCCATTGAATTGATTGTTCAGCATTATTAAAAGATCATCATCAATTAAGTTTTTTTGCTTCAACGTTTCAAATAATTCCGTCATATTCTTTATTTTCCAGTCGCGTCTTCTTACAACTTGCTTCAAACTTTTTACTTTACGTGCCAGTTCTTTATTATTCTCTGTTAATTGTTTAATTTTAGTCTCTGCTGCAGTATTTTCTTCAGAGGAGGTTTCACTGGAACTTGATTGAAGTGGCATCATAACACAGGTTCCATCAGGGAACATTACTTTTCTTTTCTTATGAACTGCAGAAGCATCTGCTCCTTCTTCGTCACGAGCTCGCTTTGTAGAGGTTGTTAGATTTACTGGAGGACTTTCGCACTGTTGTTTCAGCTCAACACTTCTCATAGAACTTGAAGCAAGTGGCATTAACACTGGTGCCATTCTCTGGTAAACGTTTCTCTGCTGCAATTACAGAAGTATTCCTACATTTCTCTGCAAAAACTTGCTTATTGGAAGATCCTGTCAATTGTACATCTCCAGTTCTATTTTCTTCTGTTCTATCTTGTGTACTCATTACGTTTAGTAGCTGCATATTTTCCTTGTTATGACTATTATTAAGAAGTAGTGTTGGAACTGCATTTGATCACAACTGAGTATTATGGTAGCCCAATTCAGTAAGAAAGTCAGTACTCAGGAAATGCAAGCTGCAAATTTTGCTTGTTGGAATAGCTTTCCAATTCTCTCTTCCAACAGCTTTGATACAGCACTCAAGTCAATGACTATCTTTGAATGGAAAGCTGGGAATAGATAAAAAATAACATTTATACAAACAGATTAATGTTAGACACTGGTAACCAGTACATTAATTGCATTTACAATTTAATGTATTAATATGTGTTACATACCTGTATAATAAATTGTATTCGCAGTATTAGTACATTTTCTGTGCATAAATATTACAGCTCATTTCATTTATTTAGAAGTAATGCTACTCGATCTCAAAACTGTTATTTTTATTCTCAACATAGTACGGCAAAAGGTCATGGACCATAAATCCAGTGACAATACAGATAAGAATCTTATAAAATCTATTGTTATTTATATTTTTTATAGGTTATGCCAGTAACCAGTCGTTAACTTGGGTGCAGGATTATAAATTTGAAATAAATATAACTGAATACTTATAAATTTGGAAGTTCAAAATAATAGTTTCTGTACGTTAACAACTTATCTGCATATATAAATTTACAAAATTACTTACCCAAAAAAACGAATGAAGGACCTGCTTTGTAGCGACTTTTGCAATCTTTCACGCTGCATGACATCGGCATTTTTTATCCAATTTGCGGTAACATTTCTAAAATAGCATTAAAATGCCAATGCGACGAAATTACCCCACTGAATAATGTCGGGTGTCACACCGATATACTAACCCACTCACAAATCCGCCCTACAAAAGATGGCGGCCAGTCCCCACCACTTCAAAAAATTTGCCTCACTTTTCTCAATGGCAGGATACTGGAAGCTAGCGGTCTAGTAGTCTGTGGGTAAAACATACCCCCAAAAAAACTCTTACGTGTAAAAAACTACGCCAGGTACAGGAGTGCTGTGATGTTCTTTAACGAAAAGTATTGAAATCATATTATTATGGCCAAGTACATAAACCACTGCATGTTTGCCTATTATATGATCTAGCACCGGCCCATCATTTTAATTGTATTTTCAAAATTTCCTATAACATTTTCGCTACTATTTTACATTGTTACTGCTTCTCGTATTTAATTATGATTTAATGGTCATTTAATAATTATTAAAACTTTAGATGGTTCCTTATCGAGTACTACTTGGCGGTACTCGAGTATTACTTTTTGGGTACACATAGCTAAAAAGGGCAAAGCAGCCAGCGCCATCTGTCGTGTGAAAAAGTAAATGGACGAGCGAAGACGACGTAGCAACGACGACGATGTCGGAACTGAAATAAAATCGTCTCGTTTGCCATCTTAATATGCTCTGATCTCGTAAACCGATCATATTGATCTTGGTGGCAATCGATTCAGAACTCTTAATTCCTTTTTCTCATGTATATACACCGATTCATAAGATATTTCGTTCCAAAGACAGGTGTATATAAGAGTTAATTCAAGTAAAGGGTCTCTGCGAGCCGTGCCCTGTACAGCCGGTTGCCTGTACTTGTCGCAAGACTCCACCCGGTTTTGATTTTCGGCGTGACATGACGCGTTTCAAAGTTTACGTAACGTCTCGTTTCTATAGAACAGCAAAACTCCCCATTGCCAATGTACTTTAGCAAAAGTAGTGTGTAGTAATAAAAAGGAAATCAATGGAAAATCATTCATTACCTTTGGCGAAAGAGCATTGACTATTGTGATACTTTGCTACAAGACACTTTGCTCCTTAGCACGCGACACATGTTCCCATCTGCCAACTTAAGCTGTTTGACTTGTGGGATGACTATACATTTCGCAATGAATCGCTACACGAATTAAATAAAGCTAAATGATAGACTCTTGATCGACTGCCTATGATTCCCTGAATTTGAATGAAGAACCTTTATACGTGGAAAATTGCTGTAGACTTATTTCGTATATAACTAGAATGCATCCTTATAACTGAATAGTCTTCTTGATATAGCTAAATCGCAAAAAGAAGATATTGAATTACATCTGTCAATGGCATCACACTACATACAAAAATTGCATCTAATAGATAGATAGTTAAGAGAATCGAGTAATGGCCCAGCACAAAAATAATCGATTTGCTTGATAATGTCATTGTTCGTCTCCTCGCAGTCTACGACCTAAAGACACAGTTAAGTATTTGATATAACAGATATTTCGATTATTTATGACTGTGAGATCTTCGAATAGCTAGACAAAGATATGATACAGACATTTCAAGAAGCATCATTTAATCGGTTAATCAGTAGTAATAAATTATTGTAAATCAACACGTAAAAAATTTTTATTATACATCGATTTAAAAGTAAATTGTATCTGCAATTAAGTAAATGTTTAACACATCTAATATTGTTTAGAAATCTGGGACATCTCATCATTGGAGGAGACAGCCATAGGGAAAGGAAGGCAGAAGTGTTTCTAAATTATGTTCGAGGATTTACGCTCCATGAACCATTATATTTTCAGTAGCTACTCCATATTCTTAAGCTCTATCATTTAAACAATCTATCATTTTTGTTTTCCTGAGTAAAACGTTCCACAAGTGTTCCTAAAACTTTCGAATATGCTGCCAATATACGTGGAACGTTTCAGAGTAAATGTAGGAGTGATCAAAGAATGAGCAAACGAAAATTGGCAGGACGTGCTAAACGAATCTAATCTGATCGTATGAACTAAACTAATATGGATCCTGCTCGTCAGGCCAAATTACGTCAAATGAACCCTTAATAATAGTCAATTGTTAGTGACGTATAAATATAAAGTCCGCGTGCTTGGTCACTGATGGGTAGGGTCACCATAAGTGCTTCACCGATCCTACTAAAACGCTAATCAGAAAACGGATGACATATCCGGCATGGCTCTTCGCTCTCCGGAGTTGTTTGGTTACTACATTTTTTAAATAAATTACATCAATTTTACTTTTTTTCGTTTCATTGGATCTGAGTTCTAAAGTTACCGAAATCCTCTACGAAGACGTTTCTGGGATATTCGAGAACGGTTTTTTTACACAACCTCTTACAAAATCTTGAAAAATATTTAGAGTTAACAGATGTAAATTCTGCAGACTTTCAAAAAGTGTTATAGTCGATGTGCTAACCGTATCTAATTTATTTGTAAACGAATAGCTCGACAGTTGTGAATCAGACTGCAATAATAAGGTATGTATATTTTGGAATGAATTAAAAAAGTATAAAGAATTTTAGTTGTTTAAATTAGCTTTAGCTTAATTTCGGTGTAAATACTTCATCCGAATTGTATACGATGTTATGCCGTGTATGAAGTCTCATCTGGTACAGTCAGGCTGCAACATCAGTTTCACTTTTAAGGGGACTTATTTACGTTTCGGTACCTAAAGTGTTGTCACTTCAATTGGAACTGATTTCGCGACCTCACTACAACTGCAATGACAATAATCCCGCAAATATCTTTCTAGAATCGCGGAAGTCTTTTTCAAACTTTTGCCAGAGACTTTTAGTTATTATTAGAATTCGTCGGAAGTCGACGTATGTATAGCAAACACACGTTGAAGGATTCGGAGAAATATGAAGAAAAAGAAGAAGAAAAAAGCATTTGAGAGTCGTATCATTGAGATACTCATGTTTTTCGAAAGAGATGTTTATTTTAAAAATCCACTCTGTGATTTGATTTGCTGATTGCAATGCTACAAAATGTAAAAAGAAAAATTGATCATTCTACGAATTTTATGAAGTAATTCGATATTGAAGTGGCAGAGTTGTCGTTCCGTAACGATCGACCATGGAAAAATCGAGAAGTCTCGCTTGATGAATCTCCTCGCAATCCGTCAATGTCTTCTTTATCATTTGCTTAAATTCAAAAATAATACTGGGCATTAAGATAACAGACTTTCATTATGAGAGAGTTCGCCTGATAACTGTCAGAAAAGTTTGTGTATTTTAACATTTTTTCGGGTTACAACCCTACAAAAAATGTGCACGTGACGTGTATATTTGTAACATTTCAATTAATATATTTGCTCTTTACATATATGTATATATATACACACACTTGTCAATGATTTTATATAAGAGAACAAGAATAAAGTAATTTGATTAAAAAACAAAACTGTCCTGCGATTACATAAAGGTCAATTGTCAATTGCTCTCAAGCTGTGAGCTAAATATAATAGTAAGCCTTGCGCTATGTTCAAGACGAATTTAACCCTGACATCGTTACTATATCGAGGGTAGTAACCTCCCTCTATAATTATCTGATCTAATTAATACTCGGCAGGGGAGCTAAATATTTAAGTATTGTCATGAAATTTCAAGCAGCCTGTTGAAAAACTTTTGCGGTCCAGAATTTAAGTTCTAGGGACTCGTCTCATTTTTGTTATTTTCTCAAGCAAGAAAATTGAAAATATGTCGGATACGTCATTTCTCAAAATACGTGTTAAAAAATGCTTATGCTCATGTTTTTGCAGAATTGAATGTATCTCCTTTAAACTTCAAGAGTTTTTAGAGGCCAAAGCCGCTTATTTGGCAAATCGTTATAACGGATATCTAAAAATAATTAGTCGATTACGAGCCAGATAAGTACTGGAAATTGGAATTAAAATTTAAAAAATAGGAATTAATTACAAATAAGGGAACCTCCTTGGGCTATATGTATTATTCGCGAATATTTTTCGAAAACTGGTCAATGGCGGTTTCACAGTGAATAGATTTAGAACGGGGCTCGTGGATCGTCACGTGACGAACACGAGCTAGGTGATGGTCGCGAAACCGATGCTGATGACATTTACACCACTGACATTCGAAAATCCCTGAAAATACTAAACCCTAAAACCCTGAACTATATATGAAAGGAGAGACTAAAATTTAGACGCGCGTTAAGCAACTTTCAAGAACGCTAATCTTTGCCAACTCGTCTGAGGTAAGTAGATGAATGAATTAGGTCAGCGTAGTGAATCTTATGAACAGTTAGGACACCTTGTAGACGTTGTTATAAACTATGCATGCACCAATGGAGTTGTTGGTAGGGTTTAAGATTATGTTCATTCTGCTGAAGGTATTTCTTCTTCTATAAAAATCTGCAAAAATCTGCAAAAATATCTTCATTACGTAACAGGCGATAATCATTTTTCAAAAACTTACGTTACGTTTCCATATTACAGGGTTTCTGACTTGATCTAGTATTACGTCATCTTGAACTATTTTTTTCAGTTTTAGCTATAGAACCGGGCATCTATGCCAATCCAGTTTTTATAATATGAAATACAGCATGTAACCTCGAGCAGAGTTCATAAACAGAAAAAAATCTAGACATGTTACGACAGAAAGTAGAAATTTCCAGATTCTGATAAATATAACAGCTCGTTACTGATAAGAGATATTGGACTCGTATCATATCATGCGGCTATCACTTACAATTAGTGATCCATATATAGAAAGGCTAAATTGAGGATAGCATAAAATAGCTTTATTCACAATGTCAATGTCGAATTTTTGTTCTAAAAAAAAAACTATCTTAGGTCATTCAGCATTTGAATTTTAAGCTGTCTTAATGTCATTGTGAAGCCCATCACAAAATTGGGGCTGCTTGACAGTGGAAAAATTAGCAAAATTATTGTGTGAATACCGCTTACGGTCCTCCAAATATTTCTTGTGAATAAAAAAACTTTACGTTAACGTCTACAACGTTATTCGCGAAAAATAATTAAGTTATAAATATACAATATATGACGAAATTTTTATCAATAAGTGTGGCGCCTCAACGTGTATATCTCTAATTGCTAAAAGTATCATGAATTTAATTAGTGAAGCATTTTATAAATGTTTCTTTCTCTCTTTCCTCTCCTTGCTCCTTTCTCGCTATCACTACTTTCCGCGGGTTCCGCGTTTTGGGTCGATGCTCGCTACTTTTAATTAACATGGGGCCTGCTATCAATAATTATATAAGTTTTACTTCAACGCATGCACAAAAATTTCCCCTTTGCGTGCCTGTTAAGTGTAGCGTAAGTGGCGCTTTTTTAGAAAGCCACGAGAAAAATATACTGCGCGTAAATTAAACGACTTAACTTTTCTTCTTGACACGTTAGTTGTTTTTTTGAACACTTTTTGAACCCTTCCACTACCAACGGGACATATGTGTCCCAAGGACTGCAAATATTTAACTAGTACGATTTGGCGGCTTAATGTAGTTCGTTATTTAGGTCTGTCCCAACGGTATCTGAAAAACTAAAACTATAAAATTTATAATCGAAGGATTGACCCTCTAAGTACTTTTCCGTAAACTTTAGTTACTTTTTGAGCATTTTTTAGACAAAAAGTCGTACGTGATACTCACGCAAAGGCATTCAACGAATAGTGTAAAGTTGGTAACACGAGCTGAAGACGAGTCCGCTTTTTTGCACTCACATCGCAAAGTACTATTTGTAATTGCAGGTGCCAAACCCTTAAGATGAAATTTTCGTAATTTTCTTACTAAAAAGTTCACAGATATATTCTTGTTCGATCGTTTGTTGAGAATGTGAAATCAAAATATCTGAACGTGCTTTATTTTAATTTTATATATATTTTTTTTTCAATGTGATAAATTACTGTATCACGACCTATCGAAATGACATCGTCAATTTTAAGCAACATAATTATTTGGCGGCATGAGGAATAACGAAGTTAATACATATGAAAAATTACGTAATCATGAGTGAAAATATTTTAAAATGAAAAAATAGTATGCTTTGGGTAGATAAAAAATGTTTATAAGCCATCGGCAAGTTTCTGCGTGAGGCGAGTTGTCGATAACAAGGTTCAAGTGGAGCAAATTTCAGGATATTTAATTTTCACGATATCGATGACTATTTACTTTTCTCACATGTGGATTAAATTAACGCTACATAAAATTCTTTCCGTTAACAGAATTATTCGTGAAGTAATATTCCGTGACGCAAATATCCAAATTTTACTTTACATATTAAATACTATTATTGTTTAATCAGTCGCCATTCTAACGCTTCATTTAAGCTGATTCTATCATGAAATGCTGTCACTTCCAAAACACGCGTTTGAATTTTGTTTATGTTCTTATTGAGGGTTCAATGATTTTGCGTGCAAAATTTCATAATTACTTATCATCAAATTTATTAGACAAACGGACTGAAAGTATTGTTATAATGGCAGTATTTTTTCGAGACATATCAGCTTTTGATATTAAAGGTTAATGAAATTTCTAGGAGACGCTTTTTTGACATCGAATATTACTACGATGATTTTTTAAGAAAATATAATTTTTAAGAAATTTTTTAATAATGTTTTACTGTATTATTTAAACACTGATATGAACATTTCTTAATGATAGGTCTTTTTTCTTCCGTTTGTCCCAACGATAATACATTACGTATGAAATATTTGTCTAATTCTCAATATACATGGTATTCACCGAAACAAGAATACTATTACTATTAATTCGATTTTTTTTTATCGATCGAATCTTAATTAATTACGAAGTTAATATATCTTAGCAAAGTACCATGGGTCATATACGTATTCGCCGAATTATATTTGAAGATCATACGAAAAAAAAATTTCACTTATTTAAAAAACGAATATTTTGTACTTTGTATAGTTTACTACGTAGTAGTTATAAAATTGAAATCTGACGAAGATATTTTTAATATCAATGAAAAAAAAATTAAGAATTTAACGTTGTTAATGAAATTATCTTTTATCCTTATCAGTAGAATATTGACACCGTTTATCTCGTGAGGTCTCGATCTTATCTTAAGGGGAGCATACTATTTATAATTTTCAAGAAATCGATTTTTTTCATATTTCGAAAGTATAATATATTAAGAATGTACTGGAAAAATCGAAATATTAAATATTTATGGAGTTATTGCACATAGTCGAGAACGCCGGGGTCCGCATACCGTAAACTAGCGAGTCTGGTAGCCGGAGCGCTTGGGGTGGAGCAACGTTTCTTTCTTGCAACGTTTCTTTATATCTTTGTATAATTCTTTAAAAATCTTACTACATTACTTGACGACGAGATTAAACAGCATCTCCTACCAATTTATGAAGATTTATTTAGGGATGATTTACTGGTAAGATGCTTGGGTGGCTATACCCAGAATGCCAATGAAAGTTTCAACGCGACAGTTTGACGATTATCCCAAAGCACTTACAATTTTGGATTATTAATCATTGAAATCTCAGCCTATATTGCCGCTGGGATATGTAATGAAGACTACACCTCCATTCTTAGAGTTATGAACAATTTAGATATAATTGTTGGCACCTATTTGAAAGTTTTCGCCGAAAGCATCGATGAGGCGCAAGTAGCGAGGCAGAATAAGATGACTCTTTCTGAAACTAAAGCAGCTCGTATAGTCAGAAAACAACAACAAATGGAAGAGAATCAGTTTTTCAAAGAGGCTGAAGGATTATTATATGCGTCTGGAATCTCTGATTGATCGGTAAGTGACTAAAACTTATAGTTTTATCGTACTGAAACTTTAAACGCGATTATTTCGAAACTACATTCTCAAAAACTGCTCATGTTCTAACTCAAAAAATTATTGGTCGATCTGGTTGAATTTTTGGAAGGTGATTCTCTATAATATTATCGGAAGGAAAAACTTAAAGTTTTAAAGATACCGCGTAAATAAAATATTTTTTTGGGGTAAAAAATGTCGAAAAAATGGTCGAAAATTCGATCATTTTTTTCAACAGCGTACTAAATTTTTAATTTTATACTTTTTCATTGTTTTTTAGGTTAGTCCTTCCCCTTTACATGTCAGTAATCGAAAAATAATTGTTTTTTTTTTGGTTTCAGATCACTACAAAAAAAGTGACAAGTGCAGCACTTTTCGGTGTCACGCAAAAGACGCCTGGCCAAATAACACACAGAGCCGCCATTTTCTTTCATTACAAGAAAAATATTTTTCTATGCGCTAAAGGTGGAATAAAATGATACCACAATTTCAAAATGATGCGATTATTTTATCACCTTCAAAAAAATTCATGAAAAATGCCTCATTTTCGGCAGTCTAAATAGTATGCTCCCCTTAAATGTTAATTAGAGTCAATATAAATGAATTCGTTACAACATATATGATATTTCGGTACACGCATTGCCTGTTGTGTGATCATAACCCATGCATGAGATATGTACGAATTCGTCAAAAGTTCTCAAAATTCTTTCGGGAATTTCAATGTACCCGTAAGTAATAACGTGCATTTCAAACTAGCGCGCCATACGCGGCCTTCCGGCCGCAGTGGGAAGGCACGACCGCTGACGTTCGCGCTTTGCGCTCACCAGCCCACCGACGCTCGCGCTTTGTATATTTCAAGAATCTACAACTTTTTCATTTAACTTTTCTTTGTAGAATGCTTAGATTTCAAGTTACAGCCTAAAAAGTGTTTTTATTGCTGTAAAAACCCGATTTTGGGCTGCTAACTTGAGTAGAAAGCATTTTCATGATTTGATGTCAACAGGAAAAAGTTTTTTTTTGGAAAGATCTACAACTTTTCCATTTAACATTTTTTTGTAGAATGCTTAGAATTCGAGTTACAGACAAAAAACCGTTTTTAGCGATTTTTGGAGGTGACCGCATTCTGCGTATATGTACAGGATCAAGCTCAAAATAGAACCATAAGGTTCTAGTGATGAGAGGAGTCCCCATAAAAAATTTTAGCCCGATTGACTGAAGTCTCTCAGAGATAATCGTGTAACATGAAAATTTTTATTAAATAATACACGAAAAAATCGTAAAATCGATCAAATTGTGCTCCCATTTTGAAACGACGTGGAGGATCGGGATATAAAAAAATAGTTTTTTAGTTTGTACCAGAGGAGACCTCCCCCAAAATTTCAGCCCGATCGGCCGAAAATTGCGTGAGATATCGCATCTCACACATTTTTCGCGATAGAAACTATAAGGCACTTGCGTATGGCGGTCGTGCCTAAAAATGTCCGTATACAAAGTTCTAGAAAGTCGTTCAAGTATTTTGAGCATAACATATATACAAGTGACATGTGTTTACTTTGTCTCGTGAAACACGTAAATACTACATACACCATTTATAACGTCTATATATTCTATAGATTTAATACGTTTCTTTGTTACGTATGAATTTTGAATCCGTTTCAATAGTTTCAACATACCAGGATACTGCTGATAGTCAATAACAGAGAAACCGGAACGAAGTTCATACTGCAATTTGGATCCAGGCCAGTTATACAAAAATAGAATTGTCTTTCCATACAATAACGTATGCAAAACCCACAGACAAGAGAACTACATTGGTTGGCTCCATCCTGTCTGCCATCTCGAATTTGTTTTTTGAATAAGCAATACTGGGTATGTTCAAAAAATATATTGGATATTATGCAAATAAAACCACAACTGTCAAATCAAAATCGTACATAGTAAATCTGAAACAAAATCCAAAAAATATAATTTTTCAAATTCAAACAATTAATAATATAACCATATATTTTTTAAATCTTTATTTCTTACGAGTTCACTTAAAAGACGTATATCTTATTGGTAATATAATGATAATTTTATGGATCGTTAAAAGTTGACTATAATACAGTAGATATATTGTTGGAGCCAATACGGAAGGTATCGGAATATTTACAAAGGCTATGTAGATAGCTCTAATTATCAAAACTTGACCAGTCAATGGTGCACGCAGTCCAGCTGGGTCAATATACGTTAGATTATTGTATTTCTTATCAGTACTGTGCTAGTTACGATTTAGTATGTCGAAGCAGCTGATGTATCGTGTGTTTATATCGACATCAGGGCAATAAGAAGAACTGTTAGTGACCTACAAAATACACTAAAGTCAATACCTGTCATATGGAAACAATGGCCTATTAATGACTTGGATCTACACGTATCGAACGATGATTTATTAGACACTTAAGGTAGTTCTTGTAGTAGTTTGGATTCACTTCGACGACTATTTCTACGAACTATCCTAATGGGTCTTTATTTACTTACCTATTTAACAATATATCTTAACAAATGACTTACATTACGAATATTAAAAATCTATTCAATATTAAAAATGATTGGTTTACAAGTCTTTGAAAATCATCATTAATGATTTCAGTATATTATTTGATCTCCATGAGAGGTTCGTTGAAATCATGCCTGACAACGTTATTTTTTCAGTGATCGATGACGTGCTTTTTGGACTCGATGAAGGAATCATTAAGTTTCGGATTAATCGGAAACTTTTTAAACTGCAATCAATATCAATAGAAATGTTAATCGTGCTTTTATTGACAATTATATCATTCTCAAACCAAGGATATATTTGTACCAATGACTGCAAAGTCCGTGATAGATGCATCCCTTATTGGTTCAAGATCATACAAAATTGGAGCAACTGTGATTCTGGTAAATATATCAAGAAAACGTTATACTTTATTTTAGTCAATATTTTTCGAAGAGAATGCAATATGACATCTGTCAAAACATCACGTGTTTTATATTGATAAAAGTGAATGTTGATTGGGATTTGGTAATATCACTTTCATTTCATAAACTTTCATTCCATGTAATGTGATAATAGAAGAATAAAAATGCAGCAGCAATGTAGCACAGTATCCAAAGAGCTGCCATGGTTGTTGTAACAGACGTTGTGTCCTTCTAGACGTAAATACACTGAAAAGAGAAAACATCATACACATTTTATCTAAAATCATTCAGCATCTGTAATACAGCCTTGTCTATTCATTAATGTGCTTATACGATCATACGTTAAATCTTGGTAACAAGGCCAAAATTTGTATTTCCTCAGTGCCCGAGCTAATTAGTCATCGCATCGTATAATTAGTCTGCAATAATTATTAATCCCAAATCAATCATATCCTCGTATGGCCCCAACTAGATCGTTTCATGTAGTTATTCCAAATCCACACAAATTCTGCGAAATAGTGTTAATCTCCATGTCTGATCAGGACCCCAGACATGTATAATTTTAAAAAATCTCATGTAATAGTGTAACGCAAATTTCTGAATCGGTCCGATTTAAATTTATACGGATCAAGTTTCATATATAGGTATACATAACGAGGCAATAAGTTTTACGTAGTTGGGCGTAGCACTTGACATTTAAAAACTGCGCATGCGCAAACGTCATTCTTTTAAAAAAGCGAGTACACCTTGAAATATGACTGTAAGACGGTGATAATTTAATTTGTTTACTTTACCTTGTACTTAACTTAGCGCTCAATCGATTAAGGAAACAGGGTTTCTTTTTTTATTGATAAAAATCCAAATTGATTCAACACGTATCACTACACCGTAGGTCATGGATAGTAACACTGTACTGAAAATTTGTCTGCATTCGTACAGTTCCATTGTAGCTTGCATAAGGACGTAAGTCTTCTTTCAAAGCTACATTTAATATTCATTACAGTTACGTGACGACACTATTTTCCATAGATTATTCTACACTGGCACGATAATAAATCTACCACAATCATTCCCTGAGACAAAGTAATAATTGTTCATACATTCTAATGGCATTTATGTAAGTGCATATCTATATGTTCATATTCACAGCGTTTCTCATAAACACTATAAATATTATATCTCACGATTTATGATCAGTAATACTTTATCTTCCATTCCCGCTATCCCTTACCTGCAGGACCTCTCTCTCTCTCTCTCTCTCTTTCTTTGTGTTACGTATTTTCTCCCATATCACTGTCAAATCCGTAGTACTTACGCCAAGAGCATTTGAGCGGGGCGGAATCATGCCTTCGTGTATATCATACCCATTGCGATATTAGCGTATTGTAACCGTTTACATCGCAGGCATGTTTATCGTGTAAAAACATGTAAATACTAATACACATCCTTACCATAGTAACATTTAATTAATTTTCGAAATATTAACCATACCTTTTTAAACCGGAAGTAGGAACGTGGGGCATCTGAGACACCCAACTCAATGCTTCTCTAATAACGAACAAAATTGCACGACCATTCTCGAGTTCAAGGTTTCCATGTAAATATAAAGATACAAACATAAATATGTCCTTCGAGTTATAGTTGAAGATAATTTTCAGTGAAAAAAAAAATGACGTACGCAATTTAATTTTGATGCTGAATAAACATTGCATTTTTATTACTCAAATTTCTTGCCAATTCAAAACTAAACGAATTTTTTATTCTAACTTTTTCTTGTCAAATTATTGATGGTTGTTCAACAATCTTGGCGACCTTCAAGGGGACTATCTCGTAGACAAGCTACAAGGATGGCCCACGAGATCAGTCTATTTTTCATGGGTCACCTCGTTATAAGTTATTACACGAATCTTTCGTCATAGCGACGTACTAACGTAATCTAAGCCCTTACCGTATACAGTATTGAATTTAAATATTACTATCCATACGTAAATAATTGACCTCGCTTCAGCCTTCATAGGAATACATGAAGTAAATCATAGCAAGCATACAAAGAACCTTCGACTTTGACCATCGGCGCGAACAAATGTAAGAACCAATAAAGCTGAACAAGTGAACCTAAAATCTTTAGTTTATAAGAGATCGTACTGTCTCACATTAACTTTTGACTATTAGAATGGTTTCCAATTGCCACGATACTATCGACGGAAGATGATACCAAACGAACAGGGACGAAGTTCAGGCTGTTGTTTGGACTATGGCCAAGTATGCGAAAATAGAATCGTCTTCCTACAGCTAAGCATGAATCACAGACGCGCAAGAACTAAACCGGTTAGCCCCTTCCTGTCTGCCATCTCTTCAACTGGCTCTTACACTCAGCTCTAAACAATATTTCCTGAACACATTAGACAACGTGTAGCTAGAATGGCATCTGCTAATATAAAATTCAAATTGCTCACTGGATTTCTGTTGGAATAAGTTTAAATAAAAAAATTCCTTATTCGACCTCACCGAATAATCATGTATAATTTATTATGGAGTACAACAATTTCATCTTCATTCTGTGGTTATTTCTGAGCTTTCTTTTTACGCACGACTTGACCAAATAGTGTATATTCTGTTTATTAATAAAAAACATGTATGCAAATCTCGAACTATTGAATAACTCTGGTTTTATTTTTGCATGTAATGTCTTGGATTTAACTGAAACCATGACTTTGTAACGCTTTGATATTTGAGCGTTAAAAAAAAATGCATAAATAAATTCTTTTTTGCCATAAACAAACAATGTTTGTGATAATTTGAACGATATTGGCTCGCATCACAACAAATTCATTTTCCTAATATTTCATCAGAATATAACAACGGTTTTACGTAAAATTGGTTTTATTTTTTGAATTACCACATGATTTATCAAGACGTTAACTTTGTGCTTACACGTGGGTTACAGCGTCAAGAAAAGTGTAAGGTCTAACAGTCAATAGTGCACACGGCACAGCTAAGTCGTTTAACTTACTATTGTTACTGTATAGCTAAGGATCCCTATGTCGGAACAGCTGATATAATATATATGAACGTCATACTACATGAATAAAAGCAGTAATAAACAGTAATCCACAAATACATAAATAAATATGGCACTTCCACGTGATAATCGGTCAATACGATAGATCTAAGCTTATCGAAGTCCGCCTTATTCGATAATCATAATCATTCCTATATTTAATTGCAACGAATACTAATGAAGAACTCACGCGAACATTATATTAAATATACAATATTCAAGTCTCTCATGTAAGTGGAGATTAACCTCGATTAACGCGTGTGTACTGTTTTCCCTCTATATAAGAGCGTTCCGACGCGCACGTGTTAATGATGATTGAACGATTACAAATACCATTCTTGCTAACACATTATCTAATCTTTATCAAGAAACTTCATCATCGTCGATCATTGATTTGCTTGTCGAACGATATTTATTCGTTTGTGTTTTAAATTGACGTAAAATACATGTGATGTTACACATTAAGCAGTTTTTATTTCGTTCGATATTGCTTCTCAATATTTTTACAGACTTAATCTTCATTTCGTGATACTAGGACTTTCTTATTATGCGCTTAACTTAGAAAATTTCAAGTAGATACCATCTTTCGGTGACAGAATGAAAGCTCTTGTATTGAATTCGTATGGGATTTTTGTTTTCTCACATACGTCTACTTTATGATTGATTAGAACTTTAATCAGACCAACTTTTGTCTGATATACCGCAAATCTTGCACCTGCAATTTTATAAAGTTTCATATGATTATTTTTATGTCTACAATAAGGCAATGCATGATAATTTTATATTAATGACTTATTGAACCATCTATTTCGAAATCTTAAGAAATATTGTATAAATGCAATGTTGGTAAAGATATTATGAATCATTTAAATCATTTGAAAACATGTTACAAAATATCGCAATCAGAGGATTAATTAAGAAATTTTATTAATTGAATTTATCAAAATAATATTTTTTTAAATTTCCAAGTTCAAATTTTAAGCCGATTTTGTCATATCTCGTTAGAATATTAATTCATGATTGAAGCGGATAACAAATTAAAAAACCACTAAACGTAACAACGTACAGTCTGCCGGACAAAAAATAATGCATATTTTCAAAGTAGAGGATAAAATCAGCTAAAAACGAAGTAAAATAGACTAAAACACGGCTATTGAAACAAAAACCGTCTAAATTTTTCACCCGGCGGTACTGAAAATACATAATGGCATTTATCACGTGTTTTAATTTCGAATTGTGTTAATGATTACAAAAAGAACAATTTTACTCCTCTCGCTCTCGCTCACCTTGAAATACCATATGAAGGTATTTCATGTCCTTTACAGCTTCATAGGTTAACTCGCCATTGTTCTTCATAATCTCTTCCTTTATTTCTTGGCGAAGCTTATCCTGCATATCTTGATTCAATGCTAATTCGTAGAGGGCGTTGCTCATGGTCGTAGAGGAAGTTTCAAATCCAGCAGCAAAGAAAATAAAAGCTTGGGCAGCAATTAAATTATCCGCGACATCTAAAAAATCAATCAAGTTAAAATAAAGTATGAAACAAATAATATTTGATTTAATCTCAGATATAAAAACATGAGAAAATCTTATCTATCTTTAAAATATATCAAAGATATATCATAGCAATCTGGATACGCTCCGACGTTACTCATGTTATCAGAATATTCTTTCATATCTACAAGAAGGTCAATAAAATCATGTCTGACAATGTTATTCTGTTTTCTATGTTCTATTATGTCCTTTATGGATTTTGTAAAGAAATCAATGACGACCCAGTCAGCCATACATTTTCCCAAAATATTATAAAGCCAGGGCATAGACTGTCGCAGAATAAACTGCAACGTCTTCATAAAACTTGTAGAAAATACTCTGATACCCATTTTTCGAAACTCGCTGTTGTCATCAGCAATCGCATCAGTCTTCAAACCAAATGCACATGTACCGATGACCTCTGTGGTAAACTTTGCTGTAATGTCTCGACATTCTATTGGTTCATTCTTTTCCGAAAGATGATCAAGATACTTTTCGAATACATCTCCGCATTCCAACAATAGATAGAACATTTGCTTCAATTTTCCGGACGTGAATACCGGAGTGAGTTTTCGACGAAGTGGTCGCCATTTCGTTTCTTTGAGCATAAACAAATTTTCGCTTAACGGATCGACTTTTGTGTTATAGTGTATGCCTCTATTTGGGAAACTCGTAAAGTCCTTTATTAATACGTCCTTAACCAATTCAGGATCACGCACTATCAGAGTAGGTAAGCTTCTGACAAATATACCGACCATGGGCTCTCCTTTGAATTGATCGTAGTATTGTTTTATTAGAATGCCAATTGGTAACTGCCCAAACGTTATTTCTTTAAAATTTCCAAAAGGAAACATAGGCTCAGGCCCGGCGACATGACGTTGTTTCCAAAAATTATAATTTCTCGTAACATAGTAGTAAAACAATATAAATACAACAGCAACGCTGCACAGTATCTCCAGTGCTGCCATTGTTGTCGTGACGGGCGTTATCCTTATCACGCTAAGGTATCTGCAAAAAATGAATTACAGATAACTCTTTGAAAAAAGATAATAGGTTTTTTGACTTATAAAATATTATTTTATCTATGATATGAAACAATTTCTATAATCCCCGCCAGATTCTACCGGTAAGGTGAATATGTTATTCTTGTAATGCCTATCAGTGTATTTGTTGTGATGTTATGCAATAATTCATTACCATCTTAACAAATACGAATTAACAGTTAAATATGAGCAATGTTAAAGTGTTTTACTCTAATGTAAAAGAAACGACATGTTCGACACACCCAGGTCCGTCCCCTTAAGTGACAATTGCCGAATAATTATGACAATCTTTGATTCTACTCACGAGGAATGAATTCTCTACTTAACAACAATGCTTGATTATCTGACTGATACGCCAATGTGCTCAGTATCCTGACTCGGATAATACTGATGTTTTGTTCATATGTAACTTCAAGATATAAGATAGATGAGTGTAGCTGGTTCGGTAGTCGTGCTGCAACATGTGTTCCACTTCGAGGGGACTTATATACACTTTGATTCGTAAGGAGATGACCCCTCAAATTTTAATCTGATGTCGCGATTCAATTCCACTCATGACAATGAAATGCAGAAAACATTTTTTTCTATCCATAAAGTGCAAATTTTATTATTTTCTTCTATAAGACAGTAATGATAATCATACGTAAGAATCATATATCATATTTTAAAACAAAAAAATGGATTCCTACTCGCATCCCATACCGCCCATTCCCCTGGACCGAAAGCAAATATACCTTTTTGAGTATCAGGTGTCTTTATAGCACCAACTCGATTCACCAAGTCTTTATCTTTTGCACCGAAAGTTTTTTCGACCGATTGTCCCCGCTAACTCCTATTCTCGAAATAGTCGAAGAAAAAATGGCAATGGAAAGTAACACAGGTGCATGGACAGATGATCTTAAATCTTTCTAACATTTTCGGTACATTATAAATGCTTGGTACACGAATGTGGTATAATAACTTTCATACCGTTACCTACCAATAGTGTTAATCTCCATGTCTGATCAGGACCTCAGACATGTATAACTTTAAAAAATTCCAAATTTCTGAATCGGTCTGATTTAAATTTATACGGAACAATCCAATTCCATACAATATAGGTATACATAACGAGGCAGTAAGTTTTACGTAGTTGGGCGTAGCACTTGACCTTTAAAAACTGCGCATGTGCAAACGTTATTCTTTTAAAAAAGCGACTACACCTTAAAATATAACTGTAAAACGGCGATAATTTAAATAATTTATTTTACCTTGTTTTTTTACTTAGCACTTAATCAATTAGGGAAAGAGGGTTTCTTTTTTATTTGTAGCTTTTGTTATATTGTAGCTTGCATAAGGACGTAAGTTTTCTTTTAAAGCTACATTTATCATTCATTACAGTTACGTGACGACACTATTTTCCATAGATTATTCTACACTGGCACGATAATAAATCTACCACAATCATTCCCTGCGACAAAGTAATAATTGTTCATACATTCTAATGGCATTTATGTAAGTGCATATCTATATGTTCATATTCACAGCGTTTCTCATAAACACTATAAATATTATATCTCACGATTTATGATCAGTAATACTTTATCTTCCATTCCGGCTATCCCTTACCTGCAGGACCTCTCTCTCTCTCTCTCTCTCTCTCTCTCTTTCTTTGTGTTACGTATTTTCCCCCATATCACTGTCAATCCGTAGTACTTACGCCAAGAGCATTTGAGCGGGGGCTATCCCTTACCTGCAGGACCTAAGTGCATATCTATATGTTCATATTCACAGCGTTTCTCATAAACACTATAAATATTATATCTCACGATTTATGATCAGTAATACTTTATCTTCCATTCCGGCTATCCCTTACCTGCAGGACCTCTCTCTCTCTCTCTCTCTCTCTCTCTCTTTCTTTGTGTTACGTATTTTCCCCCATATCACTGTCAATCCGTAGTACTTACGCCAAGAGCATTTGAGCGGGGCGGAATCATGGGTTAGCGTCCGCATTCTTAGTGCGCTTTCTAGAGTTTCGGCAAGTGGGCGGGAAGCGATGGAAGTTATAAACGTATTTGTAGATCGATATGATTTAATGAGATGTCGGCTGGTTTAGATTCTAGATCGACTCGACTAGGGGTGATCGGAATTTTAGCCTGGTTCATTTTTCGCTGTTCTGTGTCTGCGATCGAAGAATCCGAAAGTGTTTTTTCCAGACCTTTGCACGGATGCCTTCTTGTAGCTTGCTACGAACCTATATTTTTATCTGTGTATCGTTATATCTGTATCGTTTAGTGTTACGCTTCTGCGGCTAAAGTTGGTCACAGTTCAGAATTCCGCTCCAAAGTCCTACAGTCTTTTGCGACACAGCAGTCTTCTCCGTAAGACAGGCCCACGCTTTTCTCTTTCTTTATATATTTCAGTTTTTTTTCATCCTTTTTCATTTTCTAGTTTTTTCTTTAGAAAATTTCTTTAACATTGCCGTTGCTCTGTCACGCACAAAATCTGTGTGTTGGTCCAGTTTATCAAAACAGACAGAGATTACGTATCTCGAATGGCTATGAATTTTAGGTGCAAACAACAAACGGAAACCTCTATTAAATTTTATAGTACTACGAATGCACGAAGCAAAAGGTAAAGAAAAAGGCACAGAGGTACAACTGATAAATCGGTTACTGTAAACTGCAATTGGTAATCAATAAATAAGGAGTTCTCGAGGTGTATAAGATTATCGATTGCAGACCCTGTTTCTGTTCAACTTTGTAAATTCATTGACACAGTATCACTATGTTCAATACGTAGATCGGTTTGCGTTTCAGTCGGTACCAATAATACCACGTTGTCTCCATCAATTGTTATTTGCGATGTAATGACACAGAATAGATACGAGGGCAATGCTGCACTTTTTTATAGTAATGACTTATTCTTGATGTTATAACTTAGCTAAGAGAGAACCACTACTTATAATCCTTGTAAAAAAATGGAAAAATCTGTTTCTCTAATGGAATTTTATCTCGCATTGTTTGAAGTGTTCTAAGACTACGCACCTGGCATATTATTTTGTGTTGCCGTCGTGTATATCATACCCATTGCGATATTAGCGTATTGTGACCCTTCACGCTGCAGGCATGTTTCATAGTAACATTTAAATTATGCAAGAAACGTAATGTCTTGGGTTTAATTAAAACCGTGACTTTTGTGAAACTTCGATACTTCCGCTTTAAAAAAAAATATTTAAACAAATTGAGAAAGATTACCGTATTTGGTACACCGTTGACGTTCTTTGACTCGTGTACTGATCTTCCTCCCGGTTTCACCTATGTACAATTTTCCACAGGAGCAAGGGATTTTGTATACTCCTGGGGCACTCAGTGGTAGTCTACGGTCTTTCGTACTGGGAATTATTTGTCCAATCTTCTTTGGGGGTTTGAAGATTGTACGGATGTTATGTTTCCGTAGCACCTTGCTGATCCGATCTGTTGTACCTTGAAAATACGGTAGAGCTACGATTTCGAGATGTTCCTGTCGCTCGGCTGGTTCATTGGAAGATGGGGATAGATTTTTATTTTGTAGCTTACGTAATACATGGTTAATTTGTTTGCTGTGCCATTCCATTCCCACCAAGGGCTTCGTTAAGATCTTTGATTTCTGTATCCAAGTGTTGTGCTTGAGAAATGGTTAGAGCCCGGTACATAAGGGAGCTGATGACAGAGTTTTACTGAGAAGGGTGGTGATGTGAGGAGGCATGGAGGTATCTATCAGTATGGGTAGGTTTGCAATACACCTGATGGCCTAGGCTTCCATCTTCATTTTGATGGACCAAAACATCTAAGAAGGGGAGGTCTCCCCGTTTCTCAATTTCCATGGTAAATCTTATGTTCGGGTGTACTGAGTTTATGTCTTCTAGGAACTGAGGCAAGGTGTTTATCTCGTGTTTCCAGATGACAAAGGTATCGTCCACATACAGGTACCATACCGATGGTTTTAGGGGGGATGAAAGTAGAATTTTGTTTTCAAAATGTTCCATAAAAATATTGGCTATAATAGGCGAGGGGGGGGCTGCCATTGCTGCCCCAGATATTTTTTCATAGAACTTACCCTGGTATTGGAAATAGGTGGATGTTGAGCAGTGTTCAATTAGGGGAAATAGTTTGGAAGGAATTTTCTTGGATTTCTTGATGATTTCAAGAGTGTCAGGAATGGGAATGTTTGTGAACAGTGATTCCACATCAAAACTGACTAGAATTTCATCGGGGCTAGTTCTAATGGAGTTGATTTTGTTCACGAAGTCTATGGAGTTCTTAATGTGTGAGTTATTTTGTTCTACTAGTGACTGGAGAGGTTTGATGAAAAAACGGGCGAGTTGGCAGGTGGGGGCACAAATGTTGCTTACTATTGGACGAAAGGAAACATTTTCTTTATGGATTTTGGATTTTTTTTTTGTCAATCTTTCTTAGCAGAACATTGGATGGACACTGGACATTCAGTGGAATATAAAAAGACAGAAACTCTAGCTAGTTCTACAGGTTACTTCGCCCGAAAACACCGCGAAGATCTAGAGATATTGAAACACCCAAATAACCTTAATAGGGATCGAGGATATCAAGTAAACCCCATTTGGCACACCGTCCTACCAGTTTTTTAATTGATCAGCTGATCAACTAAACAACTTATGATCAGCTGAAGCACTGATCTGCATGAGCAATCATAGGTATATTAAGACTTCCTGACAACAGGGAGCTTCAGTATCGGAGCCTCCTAGCCTTGTAGATGCAGACTGAAACGTTAGCGAAACGTCGGCACGAAGCTGAACACAGACGCGGCTTCCATCCGGAAACCATGAGTATTAATAACAAATTCTTTCTCTGCCATAAACAAACAATGTTTTTGATCATTTGAACCATATTGTCTCGCATGACAACACATTCATCTTTTGAATTCTTATTTTCGAAGTCCTACTTTTTGAATTACCACACGACTTATCAAAACATTAACATTGCGCTTACAGCGTCAAGAAAAATGTAAGGTCTAACAGTCAACAGTGCACACAGCACAGCTGAGCCGTTTGTTTAATTTACTATTGTTACTGTAAAGCTAAGGTTCCCCGTGTTGGAACAGCTGATATAATATATGAACGTAATGCTACACGAATAAAAGCAGTAATAATCAGTAATCCTCAAATACATAAATAAATATAGTCGGTTCCATGTGATAATCGATATACGATATCAAATATCGATAATACGATAGATTTAAGCTTATCGAAGTCCGCCTTATTCGATAATCATAATTGGTTGTTTATTCATTCTTATATTTAATTGCAAGGAATATTAATGAAGAGCTGACGTAAACATTATATTAAATATACAATAATCAAGTCTCTCATCTAAGTGGAGATTAACCTCGATTAACGCGTGTATACTGTTTTCCCTCTATATAAGAGCGTTCCGACGCGTACCTGTTAATGTTGATTGACTGACTGTCGTCGAAGAACGGTTACAAATTCCATTCCTGCTAACACATTATCTAATCTTTGAAACTTCATCATCGTCGATCATTGATTTGCTTGTCGAACGATATTCATTTGTTTGTATTTTAAATTGACGTAAAATTCATGTGATGTTATACATTAAGCAGTTTTTATTTCATTCGATATTGCTCCTCAATATTTTTACAGACTTAATCTTCATTTCGTGATACTAGGACTTTCTTATTATGCGTTTAACTTAGAAAATTTCAAGTAGATACCATCTTTCGGTGTCAGAATGAAAGCTCTTGTATTGAATTCATATGGGATTTTTGTTTTCTCACATACGTCTACTTTATGATTGATTAGAACTTTAATCAGACCAACTTTTGTCTGATATACCGCAAATCTTTCACCTGCAATTTTATAAAGTTTCATATGATTATTTTTATGTCTACAATAAGGCAATGCATGATAATCTTATATTAATGACTTATTGAACCATCTATTTCGAAATCTTAAGAAATATTGTATAAATGCAATGTTGGTAAAGATATTATGAATCATTTAAATCATTTGAAAACATGTTACAAAATAATTCATCATTTGATTTCGGATTAATAAAAACGTGATAAAAGAACACAGTTACCTATGCAGTTCCTAGGACCGTCGCTAAACGGTATAAAGTACATTGGATGTCGAGCTTTAACGTTTTCTGCAGTGAACCTTTCAGGATCGAACGTTTCCGGTGAAGGATATACGTCTGGATCATGATGAAGGCCATAAATAGGAATGATTACTCTATGTTCTTTAGGAATCGTGACATTAGTCCCACGAAACGTGTACGGCTGATTTACAACTCTAAACATTACAGTTGCCGGTGGATATTTTCTTAAAGTTTCTAGAAGAAGCAGATTACAAAAAAAATATATAACACACTATGATATAGTAAATGGCAGCCCGGGTAAAAAATGTAGATAGATTTTGTCCATGAAAAATACTAATTTTTCCTATCTTATTTAAACATTGATTTGTTTTTATCCGCAATTTTCAATAAACAGTGGAAAAATAGATTTTTCATAGTCTGGTTATATCCGCCAGGTGGAGGAAATCAGACTTTTTCTATCGATAATAATAATTATAAATAATAAATAGTAATAATAATTATAGCCTTTTTCGATTAACCCTTTTGACTGAAAACAGCGCCTATAGGCGCCCAGCTAGAACCGCTCTCTCGATGCAAATAGAGGGTATGTTCAGCAGAAACACCGCTGAGAGAGCAAATAGATTTGATTGGTCATTTGATCGCTAATCTTGAAACAGTTGTGAGATTTGACCAATCAAATGTATTTGCTCCCTCAGCGGTGTTTCTGCTGAACATTCGCAGAGTCTATAGGTGCCCGATGCGAGATGCGCTGTTGGATAAAGCGCTGTGCGATTGGCGCGTGTTTTGTTTTTGAGCATTCCGCAGTCAAAGGATTTATTAAGAAATTTTATTAATTGAATTTATCAGAGTAATACTTTTTTCAAAAATAAAAAGAATGATTTTTTCAAAATACCAAAAAATAATGCATATTTTCAAAATAGAGGATAAAATCAGCTAAAAACGAAGTAAAATAGACTAAAGCACAGCTATTGAAACAAAAACCGTCTAAATTTTTCACCTGGCGGTACTGGAAATACATAATGGCATTTATCACGTGTTTTAACTTCGATCGTGTTAATGATTACAAAAAGAACAATTTTACTCCTCTCGCTCTCGCTCACCTTGAAATACCATATGAAGGTATTTCATGTCCTTTACAGCTTCATAGGTTAACTCGCCATTGTTCTTCATAATCTCTTCCTTTATTTCTTGGCGAAGCTTATCCTGTATATCTTGATTCAATGCTAATTCGTAGAGGGCGTTGCTCATGGTCGTAGAGGAAGTTTCAAATCCAGCAACAAAGAAAATAAAAGCTTGGGCAGCAATTAAATTATCCGTGACATCTAAAAAATCAATCAAGTTAAACTAAAGTATGAAACAAATAATATTTGATTCAATCTCAGATATCTGGATACGCACCGACGTCACTCATGTTATCAGAATGTTCTTTCATATCTATAAGAAGGTCAATAAAATCATGTCTGACAATGTTATTCTGTTTTCTATGTTCTATTGTGTCCTTTATGGATTTTGTAAAGAAATCAATGACGACCCAGTCAGCCATACATTTTCCCAAAATATTATAAAGCCAGGGCATAGACTGTCGCAGAATAAACTGCAACGTCTTCATAAAACTTGTAGAAAATACTCTGATACCCATTTTTCGAAACTCGCTGTTGTCATCAGCAATCGCATCAGTCTTCAAACCAAATGCACATGTACCGATGACCTCTGTGGTAAACTTTGCTGTAATGTCTCGACATTCTATTGGTTCATTCTTTTCCGAAAGATGATCAAGATACTTTTCGAATACATCTCCGCATTCCAACAATAGATAGAACATTTGCTTCAATTTTCCGGACGTGAATACCGGAGTGAGTTTTCGACGAAGTGGTCGCCATTTCGTTTCTTTGAGCATAAACAAATTTTCGCTTAACGGATCGACTTTTGTGTTATAGTGTATGCCTCTATTTGGGAAACTCGTAAAGTCCTTTATTAATACGTCCTTAACCAATTCAGGATCACGCACTATCAGAGTAGGTAAGCTTCTGACAAATATACCGACCATGGGCTCTCCTTTGAATTGATCGTAGTATTGTTTTATTAGAATGCCAATTGGTAACTGCCCAAACGTTATTTCTTTAAAATTTCCAAAAGGAAACATAGGCTCAGGCCCGGCGACATGACGTTGTTTCCAAAAATTATAATTTCTCGTAACATAGTAGTAAAACAATATAAATACAACAGCAACGCTGCACAGTATCTCCAGTGCTGCCATTGTTGTCGTGACGGGCGTTATCCTTATCACGCTAAGGTATCTGCAAAAAATGAATTACAGATAACTCTTTGAAAAAAGATAATAGGTTTTTTGACTTATAAAATATTATTTTATCTATGGTATTAAACAATTTCTATAATCCCCGCCAGATTCTACTGGTAAGGTGAATATGTTATTCTTGTAATGCCTATCAGTGTATTTGTTGTGATGTTATGCAATAATTCATTACCATCTTAACAAATACGAATTAACAGTTAAATATGAGCAATGTTAAAGTGTTTTACTCTAATGTAAGAGAATCGACATGTTCGACACACCCAGGTCCGCCCCCTTAAGTGACAATTGCCGAATAATTATGACAATCTTTGATTCTACTCACGAGGAATGAATTCTCTACTTAACAACAATGCTTGATTATCTGACTGATACGCCAATGTGCTCAGTATCCTGACTCGGATAATACTGATGTTTTGTTCATATGTACCTTCAAGATATAAGATAGATGGGTGTAACTGGTTCGGTAATTCGGCCGCAACATGAATTCCACTTCGAGGGGACTTATAATACGTTTCGATTCGTAAGGTGATGACCCCTCAAGGTGGAGCTGATGTCGCGATCCAGTTGAGGAGTTTTATCGAAAAAGGTGACAGGCACTCGAAATTCGGTCAAAGTGTTGTCCAAACTGTTAGAAAATACAAAGTACGAAATGTGGTAAACAAAAAATACGACTGGATTCGACTCTTCCGAGCGCATCTTTTATGTTCGTACCATTTTTTTGTACAAAAAATGGTTTTCAAGATAAACATAAAAATTTACTTTTTTTCACCTGAAGAAACGCGTTAAATTCAATGTTTTTTGAAACTAAAACTTCGTTTTCTCGGCAAATACTAGACCGAATCGCTTCAAATTTAAACTATAGGTTCATGACTCCTTGGCGAAGCCTATAATGTGGATCACAATGTCGCAGCGCCATATTGTTGATAAATATTTTAATATAAAACAAAAACCGTGTTTTTCACATTTCACCCAACGAGGAAGTTTTTCATTATGAAAGTCTCATGAAATGTCCACTAAAAATGCTGGTCGTCAACGTTTGAGCAAGGTTTTAAGGAAGTTTGATCGCAATTGATTGAAAATTATAAAAGTTGTCGCGAGTTAAAAAAAGGCTGCATTGCCTCGCGCCGTTCTCGCGACGTTCGCCGCCCGCGGCCCGATTGCATATATTCATTTTCTTCAAACTGCGATTTTTCGGCTCCATGTCAACAGATTTGATTCAAATTTCGAGCGTGTATTCTCGAAGCTCTATCGAAGATAACTGTTCGATACAAAGTGTCGAGCAACATTTTATTTGAATTTTAACCAACGACGAATCGTAGTTGCATCTTGATCAGTTAATTTCTATTAGTTATAATTGTAATACTTTTTAAGCGACTGTTTTATTCAAATTGTGCAAAAGATAAAGATTCATATAGAAACAAAAAATTAGTTATAGGAGTGGAGATCTTTCAATTCTTTATTATTGCACGCTTGTTCTCACTTTCCTTTGTACTCGCACGCGCCGATGCAACTGCGATTCGTCATTGGTTAAAACTGAAATACAATGTTGCTCGACACTTTGTATCGAACAGTTATCTTCGCTAGAGCTTCGAGAATACACGCTCGAAATTTGAATCAAATCTGTTGACATGGAGCCGAATAATCGCAGTTCGAAGAAACCGAATACATGAATCCGGACCACGCGCGGCGGACGTCACAAGGACTGCGTGAGGCAATGCAGCCTTTTGTTTAACTCGCGATAACTTTTATAATTTTCAATTAATTGCGATCAAACTACGTTAAAAACTTGCTCAAATGTTAGCGACCAGCATTTTTAGGGGACATTTGATGAGACTTTCATAATGAAAAACTTCCTCGCTGGGTGAAATGTGAAAAACACGGTTTTTGTTTTGTATTAAAATATTTATCAACAATATGGCGCTGCAACATTGTGATCCACATCATAGGCTTCGCCAAAGAGTCATGGACCTATAGTTTAAATTTGAAACGCTTTGGTCGAGTATTTGCCGAGAAAATGAAGTTTTGGTTTCAAAAAAGGAATTTAACGCGTTTTTTCAGGTGAAAAAAAGTAAGTTTTTATTTTTTATCTTAAAAACCAATTTTTTTACGAAAAAATGGTTTGAATATAAAAGATGCGTCTGGACGAGCGGAATCCAGTCGTATTTTTTGTTTACCACATTTCGTACTTTGTATTTTCCACCAGTTTGAAGAACACTTTTACCGAATTTCGAGCTCCTGTCGCCTTTTCCGATAAAACTCCTCAATTCTACTCGTCACGATGAAATGCAGAAAACATTTTTTCCTTGTGTAAGATAGTAATAATAATCATACGCAAGAGTCATATATCATAGCTTAAAACAAATAAATAGATTCCTACTCGCATCCCATACCTTCCCTTCCCTGGACCGAACGATAATATACCTTTTTACAGTATCAGGTATCTTTATAGCACCAACTCGATTCACCAAGTCTTTGTCTCTTGCACCGAGAGTTCTCTCGACCGATTGTTCCCACTAACTCCTATTCTCGAAATAGTCGAAGAAAAGATGGCAATGGAGATATATAAGCATTACACAACAGGCGCATAGACAAATGATCTTAAATCTTTCTAACATTTTCGGTAAATTATAAATGTTTGGTACACAAGTGTAGTATCATAACTGTCATACCCGACCGCTACCTAGCCGACACAAAACATAGATTTGTCGATAAGACGTTTTCTGAAGGTCCTACGTCTCATTTTTATGAAGTCATATGTATACGCTTCGTGTCCAAGCGACGCCCGTTAGACATGTAATCATTTTCGTGTAAAGATAATAATCATTAATGTAATCATTCGGAAAAAATATAGTGTGAACAGCTCCGGCGAACTGCGCACGCAACCTGCCTCATTTTCTTGATATGATTCAAGGGCCTGCTGCGAGTACATGAGCCAGTCCAATATTTCGAAACCTATGTTGACACATATAAGCTGCTCCCAGCGATACTCACCAGTCGGTGACGGTTTTCCTCTAATTTCCAACAGCCGGTATCTCGCTCGTCGCTGTTATCCCAATAGTATAAAAAATCCAAAAACGGAAGTAACCCGGTATCACTATCGCTCTAATCAATCAATCACCGAAGCAGAAGTAAGGTACCCGAAGGCTTTTGAACTTTTCTTAATTAATGGAAACGTTCCTGGACTCGACGTACTTCGCCTCCTTCCCGCGCTAGTCCCGGAGCCACCGTCGTTCGGCGCTCGTCTCCTAGGAACGCTCGTGCCGGCTGGTGCCGATCGCAACCGAATTCTCCCGATTCCACGGAGTCTCACAGGGACGGCTATGCTATTATTCACGCTCAGCATTTGCGCTCCAGGATCAATTTGACCGCTTGCATTTCGTCAATTGTCGTCCTATGGAGTCTTATTTCTTCTTTCCCTTATTATCGCTTAGATATACAAGAGTGACAGTACGTCATAAGGCGAGGTCTGTGAAACCTGGATCTGTGGAACTGAATGGTAAGGCCATTACAACGAATAGAATAGCTCAAAAGTTTCACGTCACTCTCCACTTGGTTTAAACGAATTCAACGGCTAGGTGTCAAATAATAATTTCTAATAGTTTTTTAGTTCATAGAACGTTTACATAGAAACAAAATCGACAGAAGAGCTAAACATAAAATTGATCAGTTTTTGTGAGACCATGCACGTGTTATTTAGGGTTATTCTTAACTCTACACTGTCCGCCTGCTTAATCGTACATATAGAAAGGTCTTACTGGAATCGTCGCGTTAAAAGTGACAACAGTTGCATAATCCCTATTGTGTATATCAACTGTTTTTATCTTTGATTATTATAAAATAAACTGATATCGTGACGTTTGATATTTGTATCACCATGATGGTGGCATACCTTTAATTATTATTATTATTGGCAGTATTTGAAAAAGCGTCACATTCCAAGGAAGCACAACCCCTTATCAATCTTGCGTGATCAATGTAATCCACTGAGTTGTGGAATACACATAATCGATAAGTTTATTGAAAAATTACTCATTTAATTTCCGGCTTACGTATTAGATTTCTTGTTGATGATAATCGATTCTAAATTACAATCCCGAGTTGAGTTCCGACCAAACCGTACGTCATGTGAGACTTAATTGATTGTTAAGTTCAATTATATTTACGTTCGGACTCAAATAACAGATATAAGCATTAAAGAAAATGACAATGTTCATTTTTGCGTTATGTTCTATTGTAAATGTACAATACAGCTTAAACGGAATTGGACGTCGGCTATAGCCGAAATCATGCAAAATTAAGTCGGATTCGTGGTTCATTTTGTAATAAGAAAATTGTCAATTATTTCGGCCATCGCCGACATCCATGTCCCCTTAAGTAATACATGTTGATTGCTTCGTTGCGTGTAAAATAATTATCGAAGTTCACGTATGAGTATGTCAAGGTTTCTTGTTTATTTTTCATTTTGAGACACAGCTGCGCGTAACATGTGGGCGTGCCTTTATGTAAAAAGCCATGTTTGTCGCATATGCAGAATTCTAAGTAAACTACTAAGCAGACCAAGCTGAAGCATACATCGATAAGACACTCCTGTATGTTTCACGTGCATAGTCGTGCTTAAACCTAAATCCCGGATATGTGCGAGACAGTAAGTTAAACAAATATATATTTTTAATTTTCATTTAAGCATAATTCATGCGTCAACTTCCGGCTTTGAAGTCCAGTGACTTTGAAAATTGATTGAGCGCGCAAGTATGCATTTGAAATGCAATAAATTGCGCTAAATATATCCTCAATGTTTGTTTACTCTAATAATTATTTAAGTAGATGTACAAGTATGTTTATTTTTTTTAAATGTCTAAAACTATTGGCGAAAGTGACTTCCTCGTTTCTGTATGCATAGTTGCGTTCGATAAATCATGTACATACGAACTAAATTGTTTGTGAACAACGTGTTGTGTTCAGCCTGTCCTGGTCAAGACGCGCCCTGTACACATATAGTATGAGATAAGCATAAATATGAGCCAATGTGAAACATTGTATAATGCTGATAATGTATTTGTCTTGTAAACGTAAAAAACCGTATAAACTTTAAAATTCTTGTGACTATCAAAGATGGGATAATATGTTATGAATCACGTCGTCAATTTATTAGGTCAGCATGCGAGTAATTTATTTATACGTATGTGAACTGCCCTATGAAGGCGCTGCAAACGAAGAGAATAATTCGGAAATATGAAATATGGCTATAGATATATTTAGTATGTAAAATTTTTTTAAAGTTACCATATGACTCCCACAACGTTCCTACGAATTATCTTATATCGCCATGATTATATGTATATCTATCAGAAATTTTTAACACGTGACATTAATTATGATTCCCTATACTTAGCTATAGGGTAAAGTGCGTTCTATGTGTGTGTAACTATATTAAACAAAGACTGTTAAAATTGGATCTTACAATATACGACTGGTATTTCTCTATCATTGAAAGAAACATGATGGGATACTTTCAATATTAATGATTTATGATTAGTATACTAATTATGCGTGACGATCGACATGGGGCCTCGCGGTGCAAAGTGCTTTTATTTTTTCGGTAAATATTGTCTTGGTAAAAAAGCAACATTATTTTTTATGTTGACGTTTTATCGTTTGTTTATTCGAAAGAGAAATTGTCATGGGAATTAAAAGAGAATTAGAAGACGCTTAGCAATAAAAATAGGAAAACTCGTACAGAATATTATTATTAGAGAGAAGAAGCATTAGTTTACATTGAAAATGTATGTGAAAATAAAAAGATAATTTTAACCCGTTTAAATGTTTCCAGCCTTCTGTGGCGTTTTACGCGAATGTTCCAAGAAACTGGGTGGAAATGTTCATGGGAAAATCCAGTACAAGAGAGAAATTTAACCTTGCAATTGATTGTGACGATTTGGTAATTCCGTAAATACGAATGGCGAAAGATTCAAGAAATATTTATTTGAAAAATACAAATCTTGAACAATCTGAATCTTTTAGTACTGTGCGGGACCTAACAACAACAAAAACAAGAACTTAAACAGGAAGAAAATACCGAAAGTATTAAGAAATAGACTATTGATTGTTAAGCAATTATTATTTTATAAAATCGAATTGTTACCACTACTTTACATTGCACTTTACAGTGACGCTGTGCCTATTATCGCTAAGATTCTCCAAAGACTTATGGCTACGCATGCTACGAGAGTCAAGAAAATATAAATAAAAAAGTTAAGCAGCACGTGGCCTGTTGGACTTTGAGACACGATGCGATGTAAAAGTATCATAAATTCTACGAGAAACGACGAAAAACGTTAAACGAACTCGGTCAGTTCTTCGGGAGTTTTCAAGTTCCGTCTCTGCTGTTATTTCGTAAATAATATTTTTCCAGAGAAATCATTAAGTAACGCATTCCTTTTTCAATATCATCTAATTGGATAACTCCGAGCACAAGACGTTCAATTACAGCCCCAAGGTTACAGAGGGAAACGTCTGTAATATGCATATGTACATATTAAGTTAAGTATATAGGCATTCTTATTGATTTGATTACCGGGAAATTCAAAAATTAAATTGCTTAGAATTATAGTACATTAAATATGGTGAAGAAAATTCTATCTATACAGTCGTATAATTTTAATGAACTCTTACGATAGGGCATGTTTGAATGAATACATGATTGTTTTTTGTAGCAAGGTCTCAGATTTTTGACGTTAACAAATGGACCATTGTGTACAGGTGCCATGCCACCATTGGTGGTTCGGTAAATACGACGGCTCACGATTGGTCGAGTGGTAGGGATAGACCCGGACCGGTCGATGCTAAAAGGAGACGCGGGGTCAGACGCCAACCAGTTCATAGTTCGTCATCGAGCTTAACGGTTCTCCGTGGCGTGTGACAAAAAAGAAATAAAAATAAAAGGTTTACGGTCGATGTAAACAAAGAGAATCTTGAAAATTCATATTACCTCAATAAATATATTGTTGCGCCGAGGAAAAGTGGAAATACATGGTGATACGGGTGACGTGGCAGAGTCAGTTAGTTTCTACGGATCGAAAGCTACTACAAGAATAGAGTATACCGTGTAAAAATAGCTGAGCCGTGCTTCTTAGAAATTAGACGTTCGGGAAAGAGAAAGATACAGACGAGCATAAAATAAAGGAAAAATAACTGAAAAGAAAAGGCAATCAACGTAAAACACGAATAGTGTACGAAAATACCACGTAGGAAGGGGAAATAAGAGTGAGAAGAAAGCCAAATTATTAAAAGCACGACGTAAAGAATAGAAAAGGAAGGAAGCTACTATGTAAACCGTGGGTCCGGAGTACCCACCAAAGTAAGAAAAGTTCAAATTTTGTTGCTTGAATCAGAAGCCCGCAAACTGGCTCCGGAAGTGAGGATCAAGCAAATTGGCATGAGGGAGGATCTTTTATCCATCATACGGCACACGAGCAGTGACCATTTTTCCGAAGAACTTTAGCAAAGGAGACACACGGCACTGGTGGAATTAACACCCAGAGCATACTGTTCCCAAAGATAGTAGAGGGCTCTTGTTCGCTGGGCTAAACCAGGTGTTGACCGTTTTCTTTTGAAGCTTTCAAATCGTCCTCGGGACGCAGGAATACAGGGGCCTCGAAGGCTCAAGACTTCAGGTCAGGACCTTTGTTATGCCCTGGGTTGCAGCCTGCCTCGATTTGCTTGCCGCTCCGCTATTGGGTTATTGTTTAGCGGTTAGAAGATTTGCTTTACATGCTGGTATACTTCACGAGGTTGCCGTCACTTCGAATTCTACCAGAAACATTGTCAAAACAAGCAGAGTCATGGCTCCCAGCGCTGAAGAGAATCGTCAAGGTAAGAAATTGTGCAAGATACAATCGATAGTATAATAATCTTAGGGCGAGCCTTCTGCCTCAATGCCTTACTCATGGGTATATTTAAATTTGGATTATCTGTTATTTCATCAGGCATTTCCTGCACAACAAAAGTCTTTGTCTTCAGATGATTTTTAGGTGTTCCTTGTTAGATATTCGATAAACATACTTTGGAGCACTTATATGTGTGTTTTGAACAAAATTGCTTTTCTCATGGTTACATTCGTGTTCATCTAATCGTATTGGTGTGTCTGAATTTGCACGGGACAAACTTTGCATTGTTGTCATGAATGTGTATAGTTCACGAACGATATTACTATTTATTACTGAAATGCTTGACGGGCGGTACTTGCTGGACTACGATGTCGATACGTAGGCACCATTTTTCTTCTGTCTTCAAAAAATGTCCTCGCGTTTATTGTCTTTGATTTTACTGCGTCTCGCGATTGGGTCCAGAAACTTTTGCGCTTTATTATTTCGTCGAATACCTGCACATCAGCTGTTGGCTCCGAAATGATCCTGCGAAGTTAATACACATTCGACATGTACTCTGGTATTCCTATTCTTTGACTCGTTTCTTCAATTTTCTACGTACACAGAGATTCTATATTTGTTTTTGGATATATCTCGGACAATGAGTGTATCTGGTGATAATATAGGATTGTACAGCAATTGTACATCATCCGAAAGTGGTTTCACCCTAAAAATCAAATGGACCGACTAATACAATATTTCCACTCAAATGTATTATTTGTTGCTTATACTAGACAATGTTACTAGTGTTTTGGAGAATTTCTATTTTAATATCGTGAAAAACATCTATGTGAGAGTATCAAACGTGTATTCGTTTGGGACCCTAGAAGTCCTTGAGAGAACTGGTCGACGATGTATAAATACCACTTGTGAAATATGAAAGGGAGGAAAGAGCCGGTTTTGGAGGCGCAAGGAGTAACAGAATGCGTCAAGCGCAATTGTTAGGGCTTCAATTTTAGTATTGGATATCAACAAATCGAAAAGTAATAGAAAGAAAATTCTAGTAAGACGAATAGAAATATGTGAAAAAGTTGTCATGCCCAACCCAATGTCAATGTTTTTACGTCTGCCACGTATGACCTACATACAAAAAATGTCTGAATATCCTAAAATACTAATACGAATATAACAATATTTTAAGTTTAACACGAATTCAAAAAGAGATTCTTAATTTAGTGATACAGACGGATATAAGACTTGCTTGTTATTTCTCGATTCTGATTCTATTGGGTATTTTAGTACGTAAAAGAGATCTAGTCTGCTTATTTAAGAACGCATCTGCCAATATGGAACCTCGAAGTCCGTCTTTATTGCCATGCATATCGCATAGCGAGTCGTGAAAATGGCGAACCAGCCCGCGTGAGCAGCGACGTTATGCTGTGCATGTACCGTTTGTAAACACAGGCTGTAGTAGCTTCGTCCTTATTCAACGCGCGGATATGACGTAGGCAGAAGATTTTAGTCAGCTGTAGGATCGACCGCGCCCTCCTGCCTCGACCAATGGCACGGCGACTACTTTCGAGGCCTGCAGCCATAATACGTCCCGCGTGTATATGTAAATCGTCGAACAACGTTGGAAAGTGTCGTATGTCCCCCATGCAATGGCCTACGAAAATATTCCTATTTCTGTTCCCACTCTGCCAGAATACCTCCCGCAACTGCCGATGTTTATGTCCCATTGATTCAAGAATTTTCGACTTTTTTTTTATCTTTCATAAATTTAGAAGCAAACTTGTTTTTCGTGAGGAATACTTGATTTATATACTTGAGCTCGTAAATAATGAATTTTGCACAAGCGCCATTTTGGCAACAGCAAGCTTTCATGCTAAATTCAATCTAAATGACTTAATCATTCGGCCAGAATTTTCGTGTACGTAGGCACGTATGCGTATATCGTGTCCAAGTTCTTTTCTGCGATAACAAAGTTATACAGTACGCCCACGTATTGTTGTAAGGTGATAACGGAAAATGGAATATTGAAGGACACGAATTTTGAGGCAGGGACAAAGAAAATTAATTACGTGGACACATTATTTGGAACTCCACCTGTTAGATATTTGTAAATGTCATATGTTTTTCGAACTTAATCTTTCGTAAAATTTAATAAATTTTTAACTCAGTTGCTTCGGTAGTTTTATCGAAACGTTGAATAAAAACATTTGCATGCACAAGTACATATTTCTATTTGCGATAACGATTGCTCGAACCGTTTTAGTGATTGTAGTGATTGATCAATTTTTATGAATAAAACAGGATATGTAGTTGTTTGCGTTTATTTTGTCATATACCGTGAAAATAATTTCGCTTGCAATTGGCGTGAGAAGCGGGAGCCACTTTAAAGCTGTTATGTGGCCTTCGTTTGCATTATAAGTTTTAAAAACTAGAGACTTCTATATAATTCGAGGCCATAACAACAATTGAGGAGTAGGTGTAATCGAAGTCGCTGGCGGTACAAGATTAGGAGCAGCGATATTGGCTTAATTTTCTACATCGTATTTTCTCAGAAATGAAATCTGATCGAAAAAAATTTCATTTTGCAATTCCTATCAGGTTTTGATTCCCATCAGGAATCATCTTGCTCCGAATTATACATACCAACATTTTCGTTTCACCCTGTATAACGGTCTCAACGTTTTTTTTGAAATCAGCATGTTACGAATAAACATTGAAGTTCATTAGAATATATTGTTTACTTTATGAAGCAGAAAAAAATTATAAAGCAATTGGAATCCTCTTGTTTCACAATATCCTGCATATTCAAGCTATAGTCTCCTGCTAGTTTTAAGTCATTGTTATATGGCGCATGTGTGCAAAGTAACAACTTTAGATACGAGAAAATATTGAGCAACCGTGCAAATAACCGTATTAAGCTTAATTTTGTATTATTTTGTCAAGATATTGATACTTCTTATTCAGTAAAATATTGGCATTCCACGGAAACAACATTTATTCACATAGTTTATCCATATAGATGGATGAAAAGAAAACAGTAATGATTACCAGCCTGGTTAGCAGCGAATCTCAGGTAGAATGTAAAATAAGTGAAAAATAGCGTAGAATAGTAAGTAATGATTATTTACAAGACAATTTATCATTACCGTTCTCAAGTTAATTATTAATTAATGGGTTGGTTGGTGAAAAATGTTTTCCCGTAGAATGGGACGCGTTGCTAACCAGAACTGTTTGCTTTCATCTGTCATACCAGTTATCCAATAATACAATATAGATATTTATAAGCTACAATACTTAATATAGAAACTTTTAGGAAGAAAAAACCTTACGTAAAAACTTGTACGTTTTCTGTTATGTACGTTAAACCTGGTCATCAACCTCGGTCAAGCTAGTACAGTCACACAGAAAAATGCAATAAAAAGCTATATCATAATTCATGGCTTCTTTAATGCCTTATTGTCGAATTTAACGCTCTTTATTTTTTTATTCTTGTGCAAGTGCTAGGTCGATTTCATGGTACTACCACCATAAAAAGGCAAAACACAAAAGCAGAATGCATAGAAATTAGAGGATATTTGAAGGCTGCAAAAAAATATTAAAAAAACATTATTTGCATTACTGATTTTGCGAAAAACTACCAATATATCCCATTACGGGATGGAGCATTGAATTCGGCATTAGTATACTAGTTTATAAATTAATGGGACAAATTTTACTTACAGATCTATAAGGGTCAGGGGTATCTTAGTAGAATTTATTTCTCTTAATCTTCGTTGATTTATAGAATGCGAAATGACAGTTTATCAATGCTAGCTTGAACGAGGTCATTGAAATTCCAATGTCATTAATGAATTTTGAAAATGGCAAATAAATTTTATAATGTACAGTTATTCCGTATTTACTTTTTCCCTGTCCCTCAAAATCTTACATGTTTCTTTGTTCTCAAAAACGTTAGATCCGTAGCTGTAGCTATCTGCAACACTTCACTTTGCCTGTTAATTATACGACGAATGACCTTCCAATCTCTCACTCTTCTATTATCATACGGTGCTGTTCGTAATGGTAAAGTAATTTCTGTAAAGTTCTTTTCACGTTACGAAGCGACACGGCACGATTTTGTCGTCCATTCCGTGACTGTGCTGCCACTTGACTGAGGCACAGTTCGTCCAATACTCCATTTTGATTGGCTCTTCCTCTTCAGGAGTCTGGGGACTATGACCCGTTAGTCTCAGACAAAACATTGTGCCTTGCGCCAGTCAAACTTTGCAAAGCACACTCTCGCCTTTACCAGAACGAAATTATTATTATTATTTAGATTATATTATACAATGCGTTTGTCACATTCCAGGCAGGCGCTTAAAGGCTAACAATGTGTTAGCGGTACGTAGAAAATAATCACCTGATGTTTCTTATGGCTAGGGGCCTGAGCGATAAAACTGAAAATAATAGTAAGCAGTGCTGCCAACGCAAAAGTCCCTGCAAGCAGGGAATAGTATATGGTTCGTATGGCTTACACTACTAGGAGCAGAAGTCACACGATCAAAAATTATCCTACTGTTGTTATTCATAAGTTAACTTAAACATATTTGATCGAAGTAAATGAAGTTATACATAACCTCTATTCTCCTATGATCATTGTATTTAGATTCTAAACTTTCGTCGATAAGGGATTTGCAAAATTACTTTTGTTAATACATATCTTCTGTATTATGCGTACAAGACTTAATACTGTCTAAGTTGTTATCTAGAACAATGTTAGATTAAAATAGCAAAGCTTTTCGTTTTATATCGTCTAATTCAGACTCGACGTTGTAATCTCATATAACTCCACGATTCTATTGCAGTTTATTGATTTTCGATAATCGTCGAAATTGTAGAACATCCGTCCTAATTATATCATGACGGCATATAAACTGCTGTGTTTGCTTGGCGTACGTGGGGTTAGATAAGAGCCTTGATAAGGTTATGTCCTCATATCTATATCCAAGAGGCTTGGCTGTAGGCAGTCGCGTGAAAAATACCAAAAGGAAAGTGTCTTGTATTTCTCGCTGATTAACGTGTCGCGTCCGCTTGTGTATTTGTTTTTCGAACTTTCAAAAGTGGTATTTCCGATTTTACGCTATTTATTAAATATATGTAAATCTGTTGAGTAGTGGACGTTAGTGCAGACGTTGAAAAATATAATGTTGTTGAACTCTTGAGGATTTTATTGAAAATCGATTCCAAAATTACTCAGCTATTCAGAAAGGTCATATTGTACTGTTATTCGAGATTTGGATATTCGCTGAGTAATCGAAAGTATAAAAACTGGGGGAATATTCAATCGGATCGGATCCTTTGTGAAAGGAAAAACGGCATTGGGAATCAATAGGAAACACGTGCTTACGTCAGCCTCTCCTTCGGCCGACGGCTGACTAGGTGTAAGCTGACGTACGACTGTCAGCCGTTAGGTCGTCGGCCAAAGAAAACACGGACTCTAAATATAAGGTCATCGGTTATAGTTAACGTGGCATCAGTCCATAACAAGCATTCGCTTTACTCGCACGTGTCCGCCGGGGAAGCTTCACACACGCGATACGTTAATTAACTATCGAGATGTGCGTCATTGGTAAGATTTTTTTACCTCTTTATAATAATTACTTTTTTTTACAAGATTTCAAGAATTATATTGATTGAGCTATTATCATTGGAGCGGATTTCAGTTAATGATCAATAAAGATTGAGAGAAGTTATTTATATCTATAATTGCAGTCTTAAATGCTTGATCGATTTATGAACTTCGAGGTTATACATTGTAAAATTATTTGATATCGATTATGTTCGGCGCCAAGTTGGAAAATGGCATGACTTGCATAAGGAAATTTACGAAATTACTAGTGTTGTATCATACTGAGTAGGATATGACAAAAATAACTGTTATTGTTAGACGTTTTCCTGCTGGAGAAGTGACGCGTCATGAACAATTGGGAAAAAAGTTCTTGTTTTTGAAAAATAAAGTGGCAGAGCTTGACACGAGTCGCATTTCAATATGACTCAGCAGGAAAAAACTCAAATTATTCGAGATTAGATTAAAACTAGTATTTTTTTCACATTGAGCGCACCTAACCTCAAATTTAAAAATTCTTGACATTACTTTTTCATATATATTTAATATACGATATACAAATAAGATATTGTTGAATATCCGCCATATGAACGTTGAACGTTTTCCAAAATAGTTGCTAGAGGCAGCCAAGCCCCTTAAGGATTTAGTTTATCACGTAAATTGTATTCGATTCTCATACTAATTATATTAATTATATAAAAGTATTACTGCTCTGATCCTTAAATCCTGTGTTTATAATAAATACAGTTGAACGCAAGGATAGATAGTGCGTTAGCTGAAAAGTGAAATTGAAAAAAAAGCGTTAATTAAACTTTTGCAAATTACCAAATCATATCACGAGCTTGGAATCGGGATGTTGTTAATATTTCCTCTAGTTTGTCCGTTTTGTGTCGTATATGTCGTATTAAATAAAAAAAAAATGAGCAAAGAGCATAAAGCATGTGATGACAAGGAAAGTACTTTATGAAAGTCTAATAGAAGAAAGTCTGTAGAAGCTTTTTAGAGAGAAGTCAACAATTTTGATAAGATACATGATTATAAACATGATGCAAAGTTTCCTATATTTAACGCAACCATGATAATCGGTGTAATTAAGAAACGTCCAAGGTCTCGATTTCATTTTCGCTGATTAACAGTTTTTGCACATTGGTATGAAATATTAATCTACAGACACGTGTTACCTCGTATCGTAATTTGTTCACTTGTGATTGGGGCAACTTATCACGTGGTTATGAAAGTCGCGTGAATGTTTTTGCACGTTTAAGATATCTCAGTTTTTTTTTTGCGTCACGTGCATTAATCAGAGCTGAATCAGCCGTGCCCGTGTTAATTAGCAAATTTTCTTTCTTCATTTGATCCATCGCGCTTAGCCACACATTTGATAATCAGTACTAATCCTACTGAAAGCATTAGGGTGGGGTCGACAATAATAACAAAGATACTATATCAAATACGATAATAATGTAAAAAGTTATTATATACAAAGATTTGGATTATTTTAATTATCTTTCACGTATCATTATCAATAATTTTGGCCCCTTACTGTTATCCAACGGTCAGTTAATTAACTGTGACTGTGACCTGGTTTTGTCTATTATCTGATATCAATAACTTATGTCCATTGTCTTACGTGTCATCTATTTTATTTTGCAGACCCAAGTCAGGAGATGACGGTGAGGACTTCCGGAATAATTAAGCCGCCTCGAAAGTTTGCCGGAGTGGTCATTGCCACTACCGGCCTTCCAGCACGTGGAAAAAGTCAGATCGCTATAAATCTGTCACGCAGATTGAACTGGAGCGGCGAATCAGCCAAAGGTACGTGTTTCTTGCAAGTGAAAAGTGAAAGGTGTTTTCATTTGAAATTAACGGAATTAATAATATCCTTGTCCTAGTTAGTTTGTCAACTTTCGATAAGTATTTTTCTTCCGCGTTTCTGATTGATCTATTTTGATCTTGTGAAAGAAATATATATATATATGTATATGCATATATCGCTTATAGTGACCCAACTCACTGCAATTGTACTGTCACACCTCCTTTAGTTACATAATATATCTGCACGAACCGTGATACAGACTCTGGAACGTTGCATGCAGTAACTGAAATGAATAAATGTTTAGAAAGAAAATATATGAAAAAGAAACTCGCGTGTCTTTAGGAAACAAACTTGCAAACTGCATTTCATCATTTTAATACGTAATATATTGTTAGAATGGCACAATTATATTCGTACTTTAGCATTGCATTCGTTCATGCTTTGAATAATAAAATTTTATTGATTGCAGTGATGCGAGTTAGTGACTACAGAAGAAAAAGACTGGAACTTTATGCATCTCATGAACTCTTTCAACCAGATCATGCTGCAAACTCTGGCCTACGAGCTCTTGCGCGAAGGGATGCAATCCACGATTGCGCAGCCTGGCTCGCTTCTGGTAATACGATAGCTGTAAGTATCAGGAAAACCTATTTGGTTAAGACTTAATAGTTTTAGGGATGTTTGTAAGTGTCATTATCATAACGAACCATTTTATTTTTCGCCACGAAGATTCTTGACGCAACATTAGTTACCCACGAGCAGCGCGTCGAAGTCTTTGACTACTTTTACGGCCAGCTTGGATACCGTGTACTGTTCATCGAATGCGTCTGCGATGACCCAGCTGTACTCGAGCAAAATTATGAGGAAATCGTGAAAAATAGCACGGACTACGCCGGCATGGATCCAGCAGCTGCGATCGAAGACATTCGCCTCAAAGTAGCTCATTATGTTCAAGCTTATGAACCCATGCATGAGAAGACCTATCCGAAGATCAAGATCGATACTGCTACTATGGAGATCACTGCTCAGAAAGTTACCGGACACGTCGAGACCCATGCTCTTGGTATTCTAGGAAGCATTGCTCTGAAGCCGCATACACTATACTTTTCACGGGTAAGCTCACGTTGGCATTTAGTATTGTGATATATTTAAGGTTATAGTTATTTCGTTTACTATACTTTCAATAATATAGTGGAATCGCTTTCTCGATCCATTCATTTTCATATTTTGTTGTAATTTTCTTCAGGGTATTTTTTGATCTGTTGAATCTCTTTCGTGTAGCATGGGGAAAGCGAGTACAACGTCCTTGGCAGGATCGGAGGCGATGCTGTACTCAGCGCCCGTGGTGAACGTTATGCTCAGGCTTTAGCATCGCGCATAAATTCCATGCATATTCCGGACCTTCGTGTGCTGACCAGTCGCTTGCGCAGAACTATAGCCACGGCTAGGGGCGTTGAGGCACCGCAGGAACACGTTGCAGCGCTCAATGAGCTCGATGCTGGAGTCTGCGAAGGTCTTTCCTATGAGGAGATGCAAGAACAGTATCCCCAGGTAATTAGTTTCCTAGGACAGATATTGGGAACGTTAAATATTTTTATTTTGAATAGACAAACACAATAGAGAACGTCACCTTGTTTCAAGTCTCATTGCAGGTGTTGAAGATCATTCAATATGGCAACACTAATTGTTAAGATAGATTTAATGTTGCTTACGACGAAAGACAGATCGGATATGACTTGTACAATAATATTACATGCATTTCGATTAGCAGATTGAGAGAAATTAGTGAAGAGTCAAAGTTTTCTTCTCACTATTCGTATCTTAGATTTATATCTAATAAAGAAGCTTTTTACTTTAATTCAATTTAATAATCCGTTGTACTTTTGTTTAAGGAATTCGCATGGCGCGATCAAGATAAACTGCGATATCGTTATCCATGGGGCGAAAGTTACATTGATATAATGCAACGCGTCGAGTCAGTAATTGCGGAATTGCAACAAGCAAACAACATTTTGGTTGTGTCACATCAGGCCGTGTTACGTTGTATCTTGGGTTTCTTCATGGATAAGACTCCAGAGGAACTGCCGTACATGGACGTTCCACTGCACACAATTATTCGTATTACCAGCCAAGGATACAATTATAAACTGGAGTTCATTAAACTGCCAATTGAATGCGTCAATACAACCAGGACAAAACCGAAGAATTGCAGTCCCAATAGAACTGCCGATGATGCTCTACTCACTGTGCCAGCACATTATGATATTCCGGATCCCTGGCGTAATCCTGGAAACGGTCCTACGCTCGTTCAGCAACACTGATCGTTACAAGGATGATGCAATTATAATTAATAGCAAGCAGGAAGAGCTTCGGAATTGATGCAATATCGTGGAAACAATTTCTTACAAAATTTGAAGAAGCGTCTGGTTATAGATAATATTTCGTTCTACAGGAAACATTGGAAAATCTCTTTTTGAAGATACTACGAATTTTAAATGACGATGCTATGGATGAAATGTTACGCGATAATGACTTTGTTCTAGAATCCTCTTGGATTTCGAAATATTGTATTTCTCTTTGGACTTTTGGAATGTGGCCAGGTAGGCCAGGGTATTGAAGTATACTATTGGCGTCGCGTCGCATCTGTGCTAAGTAGGCACACAACTTGGAAAGTTTGTTGCTTCTACTTAACATTCAAGTGAATATATTGTTATGCATAATCCGAAAATTCATAGCCCACGTGAACGATTAATTTTCTGGAGATGTCATCAAAATTATTCTTAAATCGTGCGCCAAAATTCTTCAGCTACTTACGAGAGTCATTTGAGTGTGAGCCCAACGGCTGGTTGGATTTATATGTCCTGTTATTGCGAATACATATTTACATGTTTATTCAGGCTGAAATTTTCCGTTTCCAAGTAACGAATCGAGTGATCAGAGCGCAAGCGAGTAGTCTCTTTAGAAAGAATGTTTGTTGAATTGGAAGACTGTTAGGTGTCTTTTGAAATCGTTACGATTAAATACTCGCATAAACAAGTTTATATCAAGAAATAATCTCGATTATCCGATATTTTAATTTCATGACAACACCATGATGCCCGCTACCAGAGCCCTCTACACATATTCAGTATATGATATTTATAGATTCTACAAAAATATTTAATAATTCACGTTAATCTTATAAAGTACGTGTATTTTATCGCGAATAGTGGTCAGCCATGAAAAGTTAATTATGAAACGTCTAGATTTGATTTTGCATGAATTTTTTTTAATCATGCCAACGGTTTTTTTTTAATATACGATACAGCTACGTTCAACATGGGTTGTTGGTATTTACGATGATTAGAAGTAGGATCGATCCGCTACTTGCAATGTTGCAGAATAATTGTTATTTGTTTGTCTGCATCTGTCCGTTTTACAAGATCTCGAAAAGGGCACGGCTGTATCGTTGTAGGTTTTGTCGTAAGGAATGCTTCACAAAAGCCATCTGGCTGGCAAAAGCATATTGAGGATAATGAAAAAGGAAAGTATATTTATTGTGCATAGGTTAAGAGCATAAATCATATTTTTAGAATTTGTCGTCGAATCGTCGTATTCGACTTGGCACCGTGCATTTTTTGCCTGCGTAATCATAAATACTTCAAGCTCTAAGCTACCAATTAGACTTAAGGATGTTTAAGAGAAACCGCATAAACGTGCATAATAATTCATTAGAAAAAGGCGTTTATTATTAATACATGGATGGGAAGTATTGAAGTAGACGTATAGAGCTTACTGTAAGTTTGGAAACGAGTAAAATTACTTATATTGCAAGAGGCATCATATTTATTTCTATTGCATTTTTATGCATAGTCATGGCCCTGCATATTGGGAATAATTAGGGCAATTTTTCTTATGAGTGATTACTTTTTGTCTCTTTTTTCTACTTTGTATTTTACCTAAACGGGTTATTCATTGCAGGTTTTACACGCAATTTTCAATTGAAAACCGTTTTATTGTTTATTATTTTATATTTACGCGAACGCGCAACAAAATACTTAGAATTGTATGTACAAGAGAGACTACAATGTTAAGTCGAATAGACTGTGTACTGCTTTTTTTATTATAAAGTATAAATAAACATTTTTTTATTAAAAAAAGTATCCTGTTTGATATTTTTCACTGTAGAGAAATAACCAAGCTAAACAATATTTCGTTATCACCGGTTTTAGGATAGTATGTGCGGTTGAGTATCACTTTTTTATGCTAAAAATGGTAAAGTAACGTAGCTGAGCGTGAATCGATGACCTCGATGCGATACTTTCGAGTAAGTACAAAGGGTCTATCACTTAGCACAACGAAAGCTTTTGACACAATTTGTAATTTCGCTAGAAGGATTTCACTGATAGAAAGAAACAAATTCCTGCGCAACTATCATCCGCCAATACCTCAGAGAAATAAACTATTGCAAATAATCACCGACTTGAAAGACTATTGAAGTGCATAACTCATCATTTTTATTATTTCATGCATAGTATATTAAAAGACATCTTAAGTGAAATAAAATAATCATATCTAAGGGGCGAATTGTAAAAATGATGAAAGCATACCCAGCGATACAAATCTAAAACAAAATTTAGAAATCTAAGCAGCTTTTGAATTTCATATTTGAGTCCGTTGCAACTGCGCACGCCATTCTACGCATGATCAGCAAAGTCATGCACATATAAAAACTAAGGATAGTCCGCAGTCAAGGTACATATGTGCCACTATCCACTATGGCTGATCGGAAAGTATAAACTATAGAATAGTTCGTGTATTTGTGAATATTATAAACACGATAATCCTTCTAATGTTTTGTATTCAGTCAAAGAAATCCTGAATGGTCCCACTCCCAGACCGAAGCAGACCCGTTCAAATCTTTAAACGCCATGTTCGTTACCATCGCGTTACCATATCCACGAGTCAGCTGATCGCTTCTGTGTCTCGTAGTCTGGAGTAGCGCGAATTGCCAAGCATTCAAACTCGAACCTCGTCCAACAATACTCGTGACTAATAATAGCAGGTCGCTATTCGTGTCACGTCTCAAGCATCGTTTTCAACTTGATTTTCGCGTCCGTGGATTTCTCGTGAATAACTGTCGGTTTTACGGTATAAGTGGAGTGGCGAATCCTAACGATTCTTTGAGGTTAACACGAATTCTGTGAATTTTTACTCGGGTTTGTCACTGCGCGAGCGAATCTTTAATCAGTTATATTTAATTAACGATATTTAATTTGTGATTATGAACGAGAAAGATTTACATTTGGCTAAGGCGATGATCGACCTCAAACTCGACGACGGCAAACCTAAGAAGAATGCTGTGTCCAGGATGCACGATAAGCAACAGACCTTCAGGTTAGTTGAATCTTTGTGCATCACCTTTGACATTAATCTACATACAAGTGCGACACTGATTTTAATTATAAGACTGTGAGCAAGTATCACGTATAAGAAACATGGGTGAAATCTAAGGTCAGATATATTTAAATTATTAAACACTCCAAGCTCTTCCTTGAAGGTCCAAATGGTCTTAGATATCAGTTTCCTTTGGAATCAAGTGTTTTATTGCTATTGCTGAGGATCAGATGAGGTAACCTGAATAAAATAGGTGGGAATGTAAATAAAGTTTTTAAAATATTTTTATCGTTGTGTAAAAACGTCGTTTCATTTATTTCTTATGGTAAACTATACATATGCTTCAACGTTTGAAACTCTCTTTTTCATAAATATTCGTTACATTAATTTTTAATAAGAATTTGGAAAAATTTCTCGAGAGTAATTGTATAAAAATATATGGAGCTTGTTTTTACGTTAACATAATTGCTTTAGCACTTTCATAATATGTGACTCCTTAGGTTTGCACAATAACATTTTTTTCTCGCTAAATCGTGACGCTTGAATTTTGTTACTTTGAGATTAACACATATGATCTTTTATTGGTCGAAATGTTATCTGAATATGAAATATGTATCATGCACTGACTAATGAAAATATCGGATTGTTAAATATTAAGAAGATTTGATTCCCCTTACAATTTCATTCAATTATAATTAACTTAATTTAATCTTTAATATTTTTATGTCGTAAATATAGTAATATAATGTGGGATACTACACTGTAGTAGTTATCTTAGACAACCCATAACAAGTGCGATGGTGGTGTAATGGTCAGCATAGTTGCCTTCCAAGCAGTTGATCCGGGTTCGATTCCCGGCCATCGCACATTAATTTTGACAAAAATTAAATAAACTGCACATAAACCCCATTATAGTTTAAATCAATATATAAAATATGAATAGCTGTTTCATAATGCGGAATATATGTACAAATTATCTATGAAAAAAAATCTAATATAAAAAATCTAATCAATGAAAAATAAATGTTCTTCTTAAAGATGAACAATTTACAATACAATTCTAGTTTCTTCGTTAAACTCGTTTCTACCGTCGATATCAAGACGAGAATAACAGGAAATCGTTATCACAAACCGGATATAGAAATACTATGAACTGGTTTAGATAAATAAAAATGGTTATTCAGACGATAATATTCCATTTGAATACTTTCTTTCCTTTAAAATTTTCGAAATATTTAGAATGAAGAAGGCATAGGAAATCTGAATAGTTACTACTTGATATTTTCCTAACAAGTGGGAAGTTGTCGTATTAGGAAAGTATTGCATATACTAAAACTTGATGATTTAATGCCAACAAATTTTTTACGAACGGCGAATTTTTTTTTATTTTTAAAGGCGGACCGAATGATTCAGTTATACATCGATATTTGCAATACCAGAATACGAGTCACGCAAATTACTTAATCGATCTGTGCCAAGGCTGCTTGTGGTCCCATTGGACCGTTTTACCATTTGCCATAGTAACAATGCTCACCCGTCAAACCGAAAAGGCCCCTCCTTACACTTTCAAATTTGTCTGTCATCCACGTGTTCCATGCCATTCAGATTTCAATAGTAGAACAATAAACTATTGATGCTTTCCGCCCAAATACGAACTACAGCAATTCATACATCAGTATCATATCGACTGTACTGTTTAACCTAAATTTCCTTTAGGATATAACGCAATAAAAAATTGATTGAATCATATTAACAAGAAATAAATAAATTAACAATTAAATACTTAATTTTTAAAAATAAAACCAATAATTAACTACTAATTTTATATATTATTCAAAAAAGGACATTTTATATCAGTAATTAATTAATAACGATAAAATGAATTTCTACCCAAATTGAAAAGTTTAGAATATTCTTAAGGCATACTTTACTTCGAAATTTCAAGATGGACCTCTGGGATCTGTACAGGGTACACGTGGAGCGTTCGATTTCATCTGATCTGACCCCGATAACGACATAGCAAGTGGCTTCGATCTATCACGATACCAGTAGTGATTTAGGCTTGGAAACTCGCCACGAGTTTTCCTGCATGGGTTCGGTATTGGTTGAGAGAAAATATTATCTGTATAATAATATTAAGCTAAATATTTTACATAAAGTGAATCATCAGCAGATTATCTTCGATCCTATTTATATTCCATAATTTTATCTGCACATTTTTCATCGTACCTTAGGCGCTCTTCACTTTTACGTGTGAATATAGTTTTTACTATTATTATAACTATATCTTTACTGCTCTCAGTTCTGATATCAATCTCTGTACGAATAACTGCATTATAAATGGCTGTTGTATGCGAAGGGCTTCGAAGAATCCGAAACGAAGTCAAGGATTTCTTCTTATAAGAGACATGATCCATACATATGTTGCTGATATTCGTGGGGCTTACAAATAATGTATAGGCCTTCGATATTTTACTTAATTTTTGGCGATAGACACTGAGAACTTCGATTGTCTGTCAGTGACAAACATCTGATTTACGAATAAACGTAAATATTAAGTAAATATTATTTACTTCCTTTCGTAATTGCATTGTATGAAAGTCTATGCATAACGTAGTCAAATATTAGACTTAAAATATTTTTATTCTAATCTTGACGAATTATATTTTTATATCATGAGATTTTCATTAATGATTGCATTTTCGAAATTCTATAACGTGATATTGTTACATAATATTTCATACGAGACAATCTATCGCGACTACGAGTTGAGAGCTGTCGAATATAAAATATAAGTTAACGTTATCTCGTAGGAAAACGTCCTATTGCCAAAGGTAACGAATGGTTTCCCATTGATTTTCATTGATTCAGCACACATTAACTTTGGAAAAATATCATTGGCAGTGGGATATTTTGCTACGGGGTTGAAGACAAAAGTGCATTTTCTTCCTGAAATTTAATGTTTTTATCAGTTAGCCATGGCGATTTGTTTTCGAAAGTTAGTTATTTTATTATTATGATGAGGAACTGTGCATAATATGTATTGACTGGAATTTTGAAATAAGCAAATTTATTATTTACTGTTTCTACGAAGAGCTGAAACCAATGAAACTTTTAGATTTCATTTAATGACTCGTGTCGCCATGATAAATTTGCATGTCTACAACTATTTTGAATTTGTAAAATATATATTTTTCGAATATCTATAATTCTTCGTCATCTAACTGATAAAAATTTTCGTTATTCTTCAAGAATATTTTTCAAAGATTCTACTTAACCATTTTATTACAGTGACATCGATCGTACAAGTTTTTAGTTGAAGTTAGTACTGGTCAAATGTATTTCTTTCCTGTTCACAAAGCTTGATGAAAGCTTAGTTCTGTTATTTAATGATTGAGGATCGTTTGACCCTGACCGATCCAGTGATAGTTTTGCTGTTCTGTATTATAATGTCTTTCTTTCTTTTTTCTTGAAGCGACATGCGGACTGATTGTGAGTTAACTGTCGAGCCTGTGGAGCCGCGAAGGTAATACAATTCTCTATCGCGCACGTTGTGTCTAGCGCCATCTGCATGCTGTGCAATGTACTGAGTTGAATTGTTTCCTTGTCGGTATCAAACTACGTTGGTAAATTCGTCACGTATTCAAAATTCTTCGGCTCATAAACCCTCTACAACTTAACATGGTTACCGCCCAGCGTAAATTACGTATATTTAGGACTAGTTACTGGCACATCTCCTCATTGGAGGAGTCAGCCATAAGGAAAGGAAGGAGGAAATTACGTATATCTCCCCTGGGACTCAAGTTCAGGGGGTCGTCGCGGCCCATACCTATGGCAACATAGCTGTCACCCATATATGAGTGACGTAGCGGTCACCATGTTAATTTGGATCCACCTATGTTGTTCCTTATCTGCACTTATATATGTTTTTTCCTTAAATTCTGTTGGTAGTACGTATGTAAATTTTATTGGTATAAATAATAATAGTGATATAGTAGATGTCTGGCTATAGTAATAATCTTCTATCTCTTAGTTAAATATTACTTTTATTATATATTTCACATTATTAATTATGTATGTGTTTCTTTATTATTCACATTGTCTATTAATATATCATTAAACTATATTACCCCATAGACTAGAAGTAGATCAAAATGCTTGAACACGTTTACTCCTAAATATAAATACCGAAGATTTTATTTATACGGATTAATAATCTCGCCGTCCTTCGCGAAAATTCGAAACGCGCGAATTCCATTCCCTTTCGCAATTATCCGCAGCAGTTACTTATATTTCGCAGTTACTCGCAAACGTGTATCTTTGATTAGCCAGAAGAGATATTAAAAGAGAGTATATACAAGGTTTTTGTGTATCGTAAGTAACGTAATAGACTGACTTGGCAAAAAGTTCCCAGACAATTATCATACACAGCGAAAATAAAGAATTCATCGATTACCTTTGGCAGCTCTCGATCACTGTTCCGCCATTGGTGAACGTTAACGAAGGAAGGTACAGTGACACGAATCCCCAGATTCCTATTTCGTAATTCCCGCCACCGTGGCGCTACCGAGTTACACTGGGCGACGGTTAACCATAAGAAATCAAGTCGCACCGAATCCCGACGTTATTCATACCGTGATTCGTGGCTGTTTAAGACCGGAAAGGTTTTCATGGTGAAAACTGGAAAAGTCGGAAGTAGTAAAAAGTCGCTTTGCGTACGATAGTCAAGGTACATGAGTAATGTGTATTTTAATGGCGCTCACTGTAAACACGAGTTAAGCCTTGCGGCTCAGGACACTTTCTCGTGCGTAGCCCAGAGCCCTGGCTTACTCGCACACGACTTTATGGTTATGTACGTCATTTTATACATACCGACCGATATATGTATACTGACGCACATAAAGCATCGGAAACGTAACTTCATCTTGATCCTTGGCAGTTGGTCCGCGCCTTTCGAGATTAAGATGTCGTTGTCGCCATCTGGTAGTAGCGGTTTCCATTCAATGGAGGATCTATCCGTATGGTAAGCTTTATATTGGAAGATACGCCGTAAGGTCTCTCGTCCGACTATAGGTGTTTTCAAAATTATTGAAATTCCCGATTCCTCGGACCATTTTCTATCTACGTTATTCGTGTTTTAAATAATCATTATCAGGAATTACTCGCTATAAGAGTACGCGAGACTTTAGTATAGTTACCCATATTTGTTGGATTAATTTTTGTTTTATGTTTTTGAGCTAATTAATTAATTTTTATCTAATACACTGCAATTTATTTTTCAAATGTTGATTTATTCGGGAAAATTTGTTTTTTTGAAAAGTTTTTTTTTATACTAATTTAATTTTACGAATGTGGTTTAATTGATGCTCGGTTTGTATTGTCATGGTGTATTTATTTATAGAATTTCCATTTTATTTGATTTTTCGTCATAAGGATTAATCCTTATGACATAATTCTGCACGTAAAAAAAAAAGGACGAAGCACTTTGTGTCCCGTGTACGTTGTGTATTAACTCGTCATATTTACTGTATGGAAATTATGTGTGTGTTAAACATTTTCTATTTTTCTGTGTTATTCGCTCGACTTCATATACTTTCTATTCTTGTCCTGATATTACGATACACGGCATATACATATATATATATTGGTACGCAACAAGCAACAGCAAGCACCACAAATTTGGGACCTGAAACGTACGTTATACGTATTATAAAATTGCTCGTAGATTTATCCTGAACGTTTCTATTAATATTTTTCACGAATTCACTCACAGCAAATATACATGGTTATTCGTGCAAAACCTTTAGACTGTCATTGTTATAAACTCATACGGTGACGTTAGTTTGTTTGGAAAATTTTGACAAATAATATTTTTGTAAAACAAAACAACTCGGCATGAACAAGTTAAAAAAAATTTTATCTGACCGTTAATAAATATTATCAATCTTTCACGCTCGTAAATTTAATTTTGATAATGATGACAAGGTAATTTCCAGTACGCATGCTTTATTTTAGCACCGGATGTGCAAAATGCTTTTCAATACATTAAAGTAGTTTTTCTCAAGTTATAAGAGGGTTATCGCGAAGTTCGCGTTATCGTACAAGTTTTCGCAATATATTGAGGGAAACGAAGGAATCCGTGTTGAAGTAACTGTCAGTAGCGATGCAATGCGCGAGAGGCTTCTTTAGAGCTTTGGGGTTTACGAAAAACATATTCACTAACTCGACAATCAGGTCAGCATAGAAGTTTACTTTTAATCTATTCCTTTACTGTCGACCAGTAGTGTTTCTAGGTACTTGCCAAATTTACGTGTTTTTATTATTTTATTAATTTTCATTGTGGTACGAAATTTGTGCTGTTGGTCTGTGTTGCTAGTGATGTGCATTGGTCGCATTCTTGGTGGATGCGTGGATAATATTTTCTGTAGTTTGCAAAGGTACATTTTGAGAATAATATATATAGCAGGTAATTCAGTTAAGATGGATATGATTATGATTTTCCGAATCGGTTTGATTTGTGTGGAAAACAAAATTTTCAAGGACAATCCCCTGGTAGAAATTTTTATTTGAAAATGTCTTTTTCAGGGAAATTTCTACCAAGTATTTTATAATTCTTATTTTAGCTGATGTTTATAGTGGTTGTACATAACGTCTGAAGTAACTGGAACTTATCCGTACGAAAAAGTTATACTGATGTTACAATTATTATTTTGAATTTACTTAAAAATTATTTTGCTTTTTTCGTTAATCACACTAGGGGCGAATTTTTTTAATTGAGAAAAAATTATGTAATTTTTTTTATTTTAACTTTTTTCAATGAGAATATGTTGAATTTACAAAAAAAAGAAACTAAACTTATACATTCATGACGGCTTCCTTTTTAAGCAAGTACTACGGGCTAGATAATATCGCGTGATTAAAAGGATATATTTATATCAGACTTTCAGCAAGTATACGCTCTTTTGCTTTTAGCCACGCGATATGTCGATGATCTTGTGAAAATAAAGGAGAGGGATAATGATAAAATGTTCCCTACTTTTGACAACATTACTGAGATTTAATTACCGCACATCTTAGTAACGTAATATCTATGTTAATATGCTTTATCTTTCTTTTTTAATGTAATTAATTAATTTTGTTGTTTTCTTAAACGCCACGCAATAAAGTTCATTATTGAATTACAACACGTTGCAGTTTATCAAGTCTAACAATTTATTTTATACTTGTTCATCGTATGCCGATGTCAATGACAGTTTGATTTATTGATACAATTGTATTACTTCGATGTACATACATTCCCGTCAAGCTTATAAACTTGTAGGAATATTCTTTTAACGCAGCATAAAAATGTCGATTGCCAATAGCGACTTAACTGAATTATGAAAATATTTACGTGACATTTGTGATTATAGTATACGCATTTACACTGAACAATATGTGCAATCAGCATGCAAATGCGCTTTTATTCTTTTTTTTTTTACAAGTGGATATAAAAACGTCTTTTATGCAATATTCGCTGTTAATATTCTTTACTGATAAAGTAGGAGCATCTCACTAGTTATTATGTGATCGCACGAATTTTTTCATATTTATGTGACCGTCTGCTTAGTTATATAGTTGCTTATCTTTAATGTCATTAGAACGTTTGACAATGCTTGTAAGTCGATAAGATACAACGTGTCCATTGACCTATAACCTGTAACCTTGAGAGCTTATAGAATGTTTAAGCATAATTTAGCTTAGGTATTTTTGGGAAAAACGTACAATATGTTTCTTTAAATTATTTGCGCAAGACACAAGTACGAATGGTTATATGGGGTTAACTGTAGAATAATGTAGGAAGTGAGAAATATGTGAATTGCATCAGAAATCATATTTTTTTTGCACATTAATAGTCAGCTCTGTGTCAACGATCAATAGAATTTGAGATTAGGATGAAAAATATTAATGTACTTAAAGATTTAACTATACAAATTTTAACCTTCTCTCAATTTAATCGTCTCCAAATCTTTTGTTATCTTGAGAATAAATCAATAGAACAACTTGTACGATGTTATCATACTGTAGTCTTGAAACAGATTATAGGTCTGGTCATACAATTCACAATACTATGACAGACATAAGAATCATTTACTGTTTCGTTTCAAATGGAATTACAATTAAAAAAAAAAATTGCACTGCCCGGGAATCGAACCCGGGTCGCAAGAATGGGAATCTTGCATGATACCACTACACCAGCAGTGCTTTGAGTCTTTATATTTTAATTTCCTTACATTACGGAGAATAACACTTTAATAAATAACAGTGTTTTACAAGTAACGCTAAAACATTCAAACATCTAATAAAGATTATATTATCTCAGTTGTATTGTAATATTAATATTTGGGCTAAAAAAAATAAATTGATTCTAACGTGACGTAATAACGTGACGTAATAAAAATGTTTTGCTGGGATTACCATCACGATGGTTAACATAGAGACAGCAACAAATTTTAGAAGTTATGACACTAATTTTAATAACATTTG